CATTCTCTCCTGTCTTCTTTTAATTTATAACATCCTGGATTATGACTGTGCAACGAGCAATTATACATCAAATGTAATCTGGCAGCATCAGCTGTTTTTCACCTTTTATCCCATTGTTATTGCCCAACACACACATGTCCTTGTGCCACCCAGACTGACCCTGACATAAATATTTCCTAAGATCAAGACACATGTGTTCGATCTCCACACATTGTAACGTATTTTAACCGCCGAGAAAGAGAGGCGAAAATAATTCGTTTTGTATCCAGTGCTAAGGAGGGGCGACTGTTACCTTTTGGGCCACTTACTTGCAACGACTGAAAATAATTACAAGTGGCAAGTGGCAGACGACAATCGGCCAACTGCATTCAGCATGTGGCAGGTAGAACCTGCCCCTGCCTCGAAATGTTTGTTACCTTTACTTTTACCTTTACCTTTACCGCGTGCCATCATCGCCGGCTGCTGCTGCAGGTGCAGAAGTCAGCGAACCGTTTCCCGATCCCAGTTAAACTCACACTCGTACACTGAGAGAAAATAGGTATCAACGAATCATCGAAACATTTCAAATAAATTGGTAAAATATTTTAAAGTTTTGTTTAATTTTTTTTATTATATATTTTATATTTTTGTTTGAAACCCCCTTTACAAGACTTGTGTATTCGTACCTTACCTTTAGTATTTTTTTATTTCTTTACAAGTATCTATTTTTAATATTTTTAATTTAGTGTGTTCCTAACTTCAAATTATTTCGTCGAACCTTCGTTAGTTAAAGTTAAAAGCTTTTAATAATACACAAATAGTTCAACATTTTAACTCTTTCTCTCTCTCTCTCTCTCTCTCTGATTAATTAAATAATCTATATCATTTAATAATTTAATGCTGATTTTGAGATAAATTGTTTTCCGTGTAGCTATAGTTCTTTTCCGAGCCAAAAGACAGTTGCCTTTGGCTAGGGGCGGAAGGAAGCTGTTGCGCGGGTCAAAATACTTGTCCTCGTTCGCCGGTTCCGAGTTTGAACCTTTGGCTGAACCTGTTTTCTGGTTTCTACATCAAAGGAGGGCTGTGAGAGTTGATCAGCAGTAAGTTCCTATATGTACACAGAACGAAAATGCAATTAACTAAATAATAATTATGCAAAATTATTTATCTTTTCTATACTAATCTATATACTATCGTAATTATTTTTCATATCCTTTATAGATTGTGCAGGTTAACTGAAACTTTTTCCATTTATTTTTTGAAAATACTTTAAGTCTTTATGTGCAATAAAAAACTATGGAACCTTAAATTAAAAAAAGAATTTAGTGTTTAGTCTTTAGCACAATTTTTGGTTTTTTATGGTGAAAATCTTTAATATTTGTTTGTTTTTAAATTGGTTCGCAACCACTAGTAAATGTTGCCTTAATATAAGAGTCAAGAGTGCTTAAATTTTTGTTCCTTGTGTATTATCAGTTGTAGCCGAGTGCATTCAGTTGTCATTCAGTGGCAGGTTGTTTCTCCTGTGCGAGTCTCCATTTTAGGGGTTGTCTCGTCTTAACGGCAACTGCGACTAAGTCTGCGACTCGTGTGCATTGACCTGAAAACCCGCGCTTTTTTACCTTGTCCTTTTTTGGGGAACACAGAAACTTTGTTCATTATATAAAAGTACTCACTTGATTGTGTCTGGAACTTAAAGTTATTAAAAAATTAAACTATAATATTAAGTGGCCCAATTGGGTAAATCATTGAAAATGTATATATACGAATGCACTTACCGTGTTCCGATAATATTACTCTTAATAATTTAGCTCATATAATAAAAGATAATTAAACCAATTTAATTAAAAAAAGTAAAAGTAAGTCGATGATGATATACCCTTGCAGTCTGGATCATTCTATCGACTATCAGTTTAACGATAACCTTTGATTTTAATATTGAGAGCCTTTCTGTAATTGTTGTTTAATGTTATCAAATCTGCACATCTCAAAATATCTTGAAGTACCTTTAAGTAAATAAACATCAAGCTTAAACCATATCAACAAAAATCATTTATTTAAGAATTTTTCAATGATTTTTAAAATAAAAAAATCATTTATTTAAGAATTTTTCAATGATTTTTTAAATAAAAAAAATTTATTGTATCCTTCACAGAAACAAACCATGCGGATCAAAAATTTTCGCTGGGTTCCAAATCTTTTAACTGAAAATATAATACCATTCAAAGGTATTACAAAAATGTATCTTATTTAGCTAAATATAATTTAAATTACTGATTGATTTTTATTTTTTAAAATATTCATTTTTTCCCATCCAATAAAAAAAGTTCTTATTTCAAATTTATTTAATAATTCTTTTTCGTTTTCTGTTTGAGACGATCTTTATTAATGCGAAGCTGCTTTTTATTAGTTTTCCGGGTTTTTGTTCGTTTGTTTTGCTGTCTTTTCCATATTTCATTTTTTTCATATAATGTATGTATTTTCTCGCTTTTATTACTAATTTTCTGAATTGGTTTATGTTCCTGGTGTATTTACATTATGTTCGTTTTGGGAATGCAATGTTATTAAATTGGGTTTTATTATGCTCAAGGTAGTGCATTATAAAAAAGTTTTTATTATAAATATTACGTTTGGTAGCGTTGTGGGGATTTTGGATTTTGTAATTGATCTTTAAGAAATCTACTTGTATGTGAAATAAATTGGACAACAGAAATTGCCCCAATGGCTTAACTTCGTTTTTATACTCTTTAATATATCGTTTTTTTTCATTTATGTTTTCGGTTTTGTTTTAACAAATGTTTAGCAAACAGTTCAGTTTGACTGGCGTAGATTTAGCAAATTTTGTTTATAAATAAATTAGTTTCAAGTTATTAGATAAAATTATGTAACTTCTAACTTTGTTTTGTTATTAATATTTACACTCTGCCCTTAGAATTTACAAATGATAAAGCTATTCGGTATTGAGAATTTAAAAAGTGTCCTGTGATCTATATTATTATCCATCAGTTATGGATGATGCATTTAATAAGTTCAATATAAGATTTATCGCTTGCTAATTTAATCAATGGCTTCGATTTAGATCTATTTCATTTAGATATATTTTTTTAAGTGTGTTACTGGTCTTTGGTTTAGCTTCTACTTTGGTTTATCAGCAGTTTAGCTTGTGAGGAGTTCGAAACAATTTCAAAATTAATTCGCTAAAGGGCACTGGTTTCTAGTGTAACAATAACTCAAGAAGTGTGTTTCGCCTGAAACCATTTAATTTAAGCAATCGATAAATACTAATTCTCTGAAAGAAGGCACCTTTCCTTTCCCAAAAAATGTATTTCAAAATGAATCGAATATAGTTTCCTAGGGTTTATCCTGCTCTACATAATTTATTTGTACATTCCTTATATTGGCCACATATTCAGCAAATTCTCCTCACATTATCTCACCCTTTCCTCTATCGTTTTGCAAAACTAAAAATATTTTTACTTGGACGCGATGAATTTGGATCTCAGCTTTTCTGTGTATTGTGTATTTCGTGGTCGATATAAGCAGCTAATTATACAAAAGGATTCAGAACTATATTCGGCATTTGCTGGTTCAAAAGTTGACTCGTCTTTGTTTTTGGTTTCTTGTAAATTGCAAAAAGATTGTCCTTGTCTTTGGTTTTTCTCCTTTTTTCGTTTAGTTGTAGTTTATTTATATTTATATATATTTGAATTTTTTTTTGGTAAACGAGAAATAACTGCGAAGAGCTTGCAAAAGAAAGTTTCCCAAAAAATCTACACTTTTCTAAATCCATAAATTTATATATTTGCAAAAAGCATTTTGTGTGTATACGCGTATTGTGTTCTATATTGGTTATATTGTTTAAACAATTGGTAACGGTGGCCCTCAATAACCTGCTCTCAATTAATTTCAATTTTCAATAAAATTTCGTATGCAAAGGTTCATGTAGAATTAGTTTTCTTTTGTTTTTGGTTTCATTTTGTGTTGTTTATCACAAGGTTTAAATTTGGTTTTGGTTTAAGTTTGTTTGAATTTTAGGTTGTGCTTGTTTAGGTATTATAATTATGCTTTCATTCGTCCGACGTACATTTTATCTAAAATACTTGGGTGTTAGTTTTGTGAGTTTATATTTCGGTTGGCATATGCTTCATAGCTACTTATGAGAGTTTTATAATAAGTTTTTCTTGTCATTTCATATATTGTTGTAAATATTTTAGTTTGCTTTTAGTTATGTTTCATCTATGAGCTTTGATATGTATCTTAATAAAACTTTTAGGCAATTCCTGCTGCTACTTATAAAGGCATTGATGAGGAGAAAAGTAAAACGAACTGATGATAATTCATTATTTTTTTATAGCATTAAATCCAAATTGTTTCGTGTGTTTTCACCTGAATTTTAGTTTAGGAAAGCATTTTCTGTGGTCTACTTTACGGCGGTTCCATTTTCAATGAATTTTGTGAGATGCAACAGGATCAGTTTCTGCTTCATAAATCGAACATTTATTGAAATAATAAACAGAATTGAACTAAACATTTAAATAAATAGTATATACAGTATAGCGTAACATAAAAACCGTGTGAGATGATTAACAATTTGTGTGATTCGTTTGTTTACTCTTTGACATATGCGGAGGCATTCCAACTCATTGAATTGAATCGAACAGAATTGGACTTGGATTTCATAATATTTGACTAGAGCTGCTTGTAAATATATAACATCTATATATATTATATGTTTGGGTGTATAAACAGGTTTTTATCATTTCGACTACTCAAATAGGTAAAGCCTTAAAGCTGTTTGGTTTGCGTTTCATATTTCATAATTATAGGCTAGGTCTTTTTATCTTCTTGGATCGTGTGTTTCCTTTTGTTTTTGGTACTTTCAGCATTAATTTCTTTGCTTAATAAATTGTTAAATATTATATATTACAATTGCTAGACAGTGTTTCATTGGTTTGGTATAATTAACTAATGCATTTTCGAGCATATGCAAAAATTTGCAAATTTAATTTAAAGTTTTTTTGTCGTTTTTTTTTTTGTTTGTTTGTTTCTACTATTTTTAAAAAAGGCAGTCGAAAATGTTTCTTTCGTATGTTTTGCTCATTTTGCGTAAATTTAACTTTCGTAAATATTAATTATTAACAACTCATTCGTTATGTTTTGGTTTTTGTTTTCCCCGTTAACAACTCAGTTTAAACTAATTTATTCATTTTGACGTTTTTATCACTTGTTTTTGTCATGTTGTTGCCATTTAAATAATCGTTAATTAATAATTAGATGTACTTTGTGTTTCCCTTTGTTACATTAAAATTAGATGACTTTGCAAGGCCCTAGAACGTAGCAAACGAGTGTGTTCATGACAGTTCGCATGTCTCTCTACAAATTACTTTGCGAATAATGCATTCGAGTCGGCTTTTCCGGCATTGCTTCGGCAATTTAGCGTGTTCAAGTATCTAAATACGTATGTTTATGCATTATCGTTTTTCAGTGTTTTTTTATGCTTAGTTTTACGAAAATCCTTTATAGTGTACAAAGAAGAATATCAGGAAAATGGCATAAGCTGTTGGAAATGTAATTCTAGCGATGACATCGATCGTCTTGGCCACTCGAATCGGATGTGGTGGCTCTTTTTTCCGCACTTGGACGAAGCAGGTCTGTAAACGGGATGAAAAGTTTTAATATTGGTTCTAATATTGTTTTGAAAATTAACTTCTCTTTAGGCAAGTATTTGTTAAGATTTATACTTTCAGAAGCAAATATAAATATATGTTTAATGGACTAAGGAAAGTTTAATTGACTAGCAGGAATCATTACGTATTGGAAAATTTCATTTTTATATATTTATATTTTGAATTGATATCAACATCTTCGTAGTCTCTCCAGAAGTACAAAACCCACATTTTGTGCAGTGTTTCCTTATGATCTATGGGGTTTTGATTGCAAACAAGCAAATACCCGCAATTAAGCTTAAAGAGAAGTTTATTTTCAGTATGTCCCTGGGGGATCCCTGGAATCCTGTGGATCCTGTGTGTAAAGGGTCTCACCTCCGTGGCGCAACCGTTGTTCGCCGAGTGGGTGCACGGACTGTTGCTGCCGCCGCAGGTGGTGCAGGCGACGATCTCGTTGGGGGCGCCGGCGTCGCGTCGCTTCTCGCCCTGGTAGACGGCGGTAAATTTAAAAAACTTATTTGTTAGTTTCGATTTTCGGTCGGGATATGGATTGCAAACAAGTTGGCGCGTTTACAAGTCAAATACAATTGGTAAAAAAGGAGTTATTTACAGATACATACATACATACAGACACAAACGCATACGAAAAAAGGAACGGAAAATTGGTTTGGCAGTTGCAGTTTTGTTACAATATTTATTTTTTAATTTTTTATTTTTGGTTGTTTGCATTTGCGTTGATGCAAAAACCCAGCAAAAAGCGTATAAGTATGTAAAAATATATGAAAAAAGGTAGAAAAATATTTGATTTATTAAAGTTTATTTAATATATATATGTGGCACAAAATTGAAATGGAAAATTAACCCAAACACTACGTAATTTGTATCACAAAAGCGCTCGAAATGCTCATTGCATTGATTATTTTACAAATGTAACTACAGAGAATGAATTGAAAAAAGGAAAAACTGTTTCATATTTATTCGGTCAGCATACTTACGGGCTTTTTAATGTTATTATTATTAGTTTGCATTCGTATTTATGTCAGTGGCAGCATTTGAAAAAGCAAAAAGAGCAGAAACGCGTTTAGTACATGGCACTCTATTTATAACCGCAGCGCAGTTTAATCGAATTTATTGAAAGTTATTTCAAATTTACTAAATTTCTTTGCACGTACAGTAGTTAAATCATTTGTTATTTGTTTTAAAGCTGTATCAATTTGTATAGATTTTTTTTGTGTTTCGATTGACATGAGAATGGCATGAGAATTTTGCTGTGTTTTTCTATTTATATATATTTCTTTTAAATAGGTTCAACTGAAAATCGTCACAAATGGGATGAGAATTTAAGTTTCAAATTGAAAGAAAAGTTTTAAACGATTAAATAAATGCTCAAGTTTGTTTATTAAATTTATAATTGTGTTATTTGTTGTTTTCGGTGTCATGTGGGATGTTTTTATTTTATGAACACGAATATATTCGGTGTGTGGGAAATGGTTTGTAATGAACACATACGGGGTTAGTTAGGGTTTTGTGCATTTTATTGTGGTTTGAAGCGTGCTCAATACTGGATATTACTAGGCTAAGGTGTTGGGGCTTAAACACAACAACAAGGCCCATAGCTTATATACACAGGCTGATAACTCTCTAAGCACACATTGAGAAAGTTGAACTTAAAGTGTGGTTAATATATCTTACAAAAAGGTCAGTGTATAACTATGCAGCTTGGTCTTAAAAACTATGTTTCCCTTTCCTTTTAATCCGTCTGAATACAGCACGCTTAATGGAAATTGTAAGCATAATTAACATCAAAAATTTGTGAACGATATAAATAGTCCAATGGGTCGTAGGTGGCAGGCTGGGAAATTAACTGCGCCCGCTCGCAAGTATGCTACAATTTATTGCAGCTACAGTGGCACGTACACCCGAGTTGCATCCGAAGCAGCGGGGAAGAGGAAAATCAGGGGGTTTTCCCGGGCACATTCGTGGGGAGACGGTCGCCGGGGGGTTGGCAGCTGACTTGTCTTTGTTTGCCAGCAGCTGGCGGCCATTTTCCGAGTGCACAAATGCAGCCAAAGGTGGCTGTACACGGGGACGCGGGAAAGTGCGGCAAGTGCGGAAAATGGGGAAAATGGGCTGGAGGAGGAAACAGTTACTTAGGTAAGATGTATTATGCGGGTGTGTTTAAGCAGCCAGAGAGCCGGATAACGTGGCTGACCTAAATTAAACAAGGGAGCTGCACTGAGTCAGTACTTTGTTTCACGATAATTTCCTCCTAAAATCAACAAGGTCCTTTCAAGTATATTCAATTCAGCAGTTTTAGAAAACTGTGAAAACTTTAACTTAAATAGAAATAAGTATTGACGAGCCTCTAGGATATTTTTTTCTTATAGAACCGATGCTATAACTATAACTAATACGTGTTATTAAACTACTCTGAAAATATTTGTTACCAATACCATTTCTTATATTTTCCCAATTTCAGAGTATATTTTTACTGAGGAAACAATGGAAAAATTAAAGAGTTTGTACATTCAATGATATTCTACACTTTAAATAAAGGACACCCTTTTAAAATTACTCAAGATAGATTCAGATATATCCTTTATAAATATATATAGGCAACACCATTGTATACTGTATAAAATCCTTTAGACATCATTTTGACTCAATAAGACTTTTAGTTAAGAAAACAAAATACCTCATTATAATTTAAATAATTTCAACCAATGAAAAGTAAACAAAAAGTCTGAAATATTTTAAAGTAAACACTTCTGCATCCGTTTACGTTAAGTGGTCCCAAAGCTGCTTATTTTACAATTTAATTTTATTAACACAATACTGTGAAAAACCCTTGAAAAATGTATGACAAGCGAAGATTTATATGCCCAGTGCAATTAGCATTGGCGGGGCATTTTCCCCCGTGGCTTTTCTTCGCGAACTTTTTTCGTATTTGCATAAGACCCTGCTCCAAAAAATGGGAGAGAAGTGCCAGGCTCAGAAACTTTCCCGTTGAAAATCCTTGCGCATCCTTTCGAGAACATTTTGGCGGCTATTATGATGCATGTACCTTCCTTTCGTTTCGTTTCGTTTCGCTCTCGTATTCGTATTTGTATTCGCTTTCTTGTCTCCAGTTTCGGCCACATCCTCTGCGTCCATTTGTTTGTGTTTCATTTCGTGTCGTTGGTTTTTCCGGTGCTCTCGGGCTCATTACGGCATTTTCCACTTTGGGGCGCTCATGAATAATTATGTTGTCCTGTTGCGGCGCAGTCATCCCGCTGTCCATGCCCATGTCCTTGTCCACCTGGCAGCCAGGCGCCAATTTAAACGCGTGCACCATTTTTAATTTACATGCTAATGGCGGAGAGCATTTTCCCAGCCACCTTGTTGTCGGCGGCTTTCCGTTTTGCAACTCCTTCTGGAGCCGCGCATCCTGGAGTGGCGTCCTGGTTCTGTCGGAAGTCGTCGTCATCCTCGTCCTCGTCCTCGTCGTCGTTCGCGTTTCACAATTTCCCATAAAATAGTTTGGCTGGAACATGGTCTTTCATCACGCCCACTTGAGTTGGTCTTATTTGCTTTATGCGGTTTGCATTCCTATCTTGATGGCGGGCTACTCCTCCTCCGCTCCGATAAGTTTGATTTACTCGTGCACTTTTCGGAGGGAAGAAGTTGAACGATTTATGCCCTGGCAATTGGCTTAAAGTTCTGGCAACGAAAAGTTGAGGCTTTCATGGGACTTACAATAAAAACTGAGATCGTTGACAAAGTCTCCAAGGTTTTCGTTACGTTCATCAGCTTAATCAAATAAAAGTAATCTGAATACTCCTAAATCATTGTTATACAAGGGTGCCGGAGAAATGCTAGTGTTTCCAAGTCCCATCAGATAAGGTGTCTAAAAGTATGGACGAAAACCTTAGAGGTATCAATTGATGTAAATTGAATATTTTTGTATAATATATAAATTTTGCATTTCAATCTCTTTAAAGGACTTAAAAACTATAAAGATTTCAGAGGCACTCCCGATAAGTAAGTGGCATTTTCGAAACCAAATCAAGTAATTTGAAATTCTTATAAATTTCCACGTTCCTATTTGTTAAGCCTTTCATAATATTTAAGCCCCTAACGACGGTGACTTATACATTAAATCACTTAGTTTAGGGGCAATTAGTTGAGAAAACATCTTTATTGCCTTTTGCCTTTGATTTGGCAAAGGGAACTTGACTTGCTTTTAACCCTAATTGCTTGGCCTTTTGTGCTTCCCCTTTGGCTGGCAGAAAATCCTCATGTCTAATGCAGTTACTCTCAGAGTTGCTCAGTTCCTCCAGTTGTTAGTCATTCATTTAAAGTTCGATTGCAAGTTGGAACGAAGAGAGAAAAAAGCCAACTTTTTGTGTGCGTGTTTGGGTGCATTTCTTGGGTGTTTGCTGTGGGTGTTTTGGCAAATGGCAATCAAAATAACCGCAGGCAATCAAGTTCTGTGAAGGGGGGACGGGGACGAACTTTGGTGTTCGCCTTTTGGCCAACTTTTCCCTTGGCTGCTTTTGCTGCTTTTAATGCTTTTTACATTGTTATGGTTAGTTATTAGTTGAACCGTGCAAACAACAACAAGAGCGAATTTTTTGATCTAAACTATCTTCAGGGGTGCCGCGGAAATCGATGGGGATTTTAAATCAATTAAACTGCTGCCATAAAGAATGCCATATTTTAATTACATTGCATTTTAGTATATTGCTTTTAACTAATTTAAAACCCACTGCAATATTCGCGACACTCTTGTGTAATTTCTCTTTGGATCTTTGGTTAGTCTCGGGAGCGATTCTGGTGTGTCCGCTACTCACGGTGGTTTCCTCGTCCACCGCCTCATCCATGGCACTGCACTCGCCGTAAACGGAGGCCGGGGAAGTGGAGCGTGAGGATTTCCGGCGCGGTGGCTTCTGCGGCATTGCCAGCTGGCGTTCCGTCATTTCCATGTCCTGGACAGCCTTGGGCTCGACTTCGGCCTCGATCCTAACCACCAGGGCCGGTGTGCTGGTGGCCACCGATCGCCGGAGGGCCGACAAGGTCTCCGGTGGCTTCTCCTGCTCCTGCTTTAGCTCGTCCTTGAACTTCACCTTGGTGACGGTGGCGACGGGCTCCTCGTAAACATGCTCCATGGCTCTGGGCTGCGGTGATATGGAGCTGGAGGGACTCCTGGCCGCCGCCTTCCGCTTAATGGAGCGCGCTCGAAGATTTTGGACGGCTGCGCCTATAATGCCGCCATGCGCCTCCTGCCAACGCATTCCGCCGCCGAAGAACTCCTCCGGATCGGCAGTCCTCGGGGTGCCCGGCGTGGCCACCGAGGAGGAGGCGGCCGGAGTGGTTCCGCCGGACAGGGGCGTCGCACCGCCCATCATCGACATGGCCGGCGTGGCTGTGGCGCTTGCCTTTTCAGAGGATTCGGAGGACAAAAGCGGCATGAAATTCGCGTTCGATTACAGAGCGGGTTGGTTGAATGGGGACTTGATTGGTTCTTGGTTTTCGGTTTCGATTTGTCTTGTCTTGGTTTCTTTGGAGTGTTTTTTTGTGTATATGTTTTTATTTTATTTTTTATCGAACGCGGGGAAGAGAAAGACAATTTTCGGAGAGAGACACACAGGTGGTTTTAGTCAGGATATTCGAAGGCCACACAAGTAATTGGGGTTAATTGATGGGCATTATTTTGAACGATTCAACCAGTTTTCCGGAGGGTGGGGTTAGTTAAGTTGTCTGGATAACAGTATAAAATTTGGGATAAATGGTTTTCCTATTAATTATTTGTCTCTTTTGGTTATAGTACAGAGTTTTCCTCTTAGAATCGAAGGGTTTACTGTAAAATATCAAAAAACCTAACTCATATAAAGAGTTCGCAATTTCCTCTAATTTAAAAAATTTCCAATTTTCCAAATGAAAAAATTTCCCTTGAAAAACTCTACTAGCACTTTGGAATCTTAATATTTTTAAAGTTTAACCAAAATATATATTTATGTTTTTTAGAAAACTAGAATATAAGTGTTAACGGTTTAAAATTAAACAAACTTTGATAGTTACACATCTTTCAAATATTTCCCAATTTTCCAAATAAAATAATTTCCCTCAAAATCCACTGCTTGCACTGCTTTCTAACATATGTAACGGTTTTCATCCTCCTTGTGCACTGCTTCGCCAAGGACAGGGTCGACTCACAACGAACCAACAGAATTATTCCAGCATTTTATTTTTGCAGGACGAGTAAAAAGTGTACTCAGCACTGTTTTTCTTTCTTGTGTTTTGTAAATAGTAGATTGCATGAGAGTGTTTTTATATTTATCGAGTAACATACAGATGCACAAAATGCACTAGAACTATACGCCTAAACAAAAAGCTTTCAAGCATTACACAGACAACACAAAATAACGAAAGAAAACACGAATGCTTCAGCTACAACTGGTTAGGACCATAAATAATAGTGGCCACCGTTTCCGGCATCATTTCATATATATATTTTTAAATTTGTTTTATTGGTAGTTGAAGGGGCGTGTTGGTAAAAAAAAAATCAATAAAAAACTTAATTTGATGTATTTTTCGTTTAGTAAAAATTAATAAATGTAAATCAAGGGCAAAGAACAAAATTGATTTATAACATTTCCGATATCATCTTTTTGCGTTTATGTAAGAGAAAGAATATTTTCCATATTATTTGTTAATCGTTTTTTTCGCTTTCTTTTATTGTTACAATTTTCATTCGTAACATTTTTCCCAATTGTAAGTGACCTTAAAGTGTGTTTTATTGATATTTATATATAAATATATATATTCATATATTTTTTAACATCATGAGGTTTCTTATATGTTGTGATTGTTGTTGTTGTCGTTTCTGCGGTTGGTTGTTGTTGTAGTCATTAGTGTGAAAATAGATTCTTCAAAAACAATTATGCCACGCATATCAATTATGCATAGATTTTAGCTGTCAGGTGTTTAAATTACGAGTTTGTTTATGGTTTGTTGGATAACAAAGTAAAAAAGCGAATAAACGTAAATAAATAATGGAAATAATTAATTGTATTAAATATGGAATTATATACATTGAAAGCGAGTGCGAATCTACTGGGTAATTATTGAAATCTGAATTATATTTATTGGTATTTTCATTGGTTTTCCGTTTGGCTCGAAAATCAAATAAAACAATGTTTCGGGGAAACACAAAAACCAAAATCGAAACAAAATTTGTTCAATGCATTTCATCAAAGCGAAATTCGCATGCCATTTTTGTTCTTAGGTTTACTTTTCGCTGTTTTTGTATTTGGGGAAAGGACTCTCGGGCAGGACTAGGAATAGAAGGAGGGTTCGAGACGGTGTTTCAGTGTTGGTTTTCGTGTGTTTTTCGTAAGGGTTTTTGCTGCTAAATTGTTTTGTTATAGTTTGTTTTATTGGGTTCGGGCTGGTTTGGGTCAGGGCAGGGTGGTGGCGGGTGGTGCATGAGTTGTGGTTGATAGCTTACCAAAGGACTTGCAAGAATTACTCCGATCCTGCTTAGTACTGCTGGAAGACGCTGCAAAAATGTACACAAAACAATGTTCATACTCAAAACACACTTTAAGTTTGGTTGGTTGTCATTTCTGTTTTGGGTTTAGCTTCGATTTTCATTGTTTCTTTGTTTTTTTTCTCTCTTTTCTTTATTGGTTATTGTTATTGCTGTCGCTCACTTAGCTGCTAATTTTTGAGATTAAATTAAATTTTAGCTGGTGGTTATTCGAATAATCGCATATACATATATATCACTAAAATTGGGAACAATGTTCGATTTTTTTGCGGTTTCGCTTAGACCTCCTTCGACGAGGCTTTTCTTAGAGGAAAATAATAAGCTTTATGATGCATGGGACTTGGAAATGGAATTGATTTAAGTGGCATTTTCATATACACATTATTCATGAAGATGGCTTTAATTTTCCTTTTAGTTAGAGAGGATAAACATGCCACTTAAACGGAGTTCCACACAAAAAATGTAAATCACATCAAACAAAAATGCTTAACGTGCAATTATCAAAAGTTTTTTGTTCTTAATTCGAAAAGTGCCTACGGAAAAACAAAATGCATATTTCATAGGTTTTAGATTTTGTAAAATCAATTTTAGTTTTGTTGCTTCAGTTTCGGGTTCGTTTTCGTTTTCGGTTGGAAATAATGAAAACATAAATAAACATACCTACCTACGGGCATGTAAAACACTTCAATTGAATTGTTTATTATTATTCATTTTAGGTTTTGGAGTTTTGTCAGGATATTTGCAAACTAATTGGAGATGAATAAAACGCATTGTTTTCCTTACGAACAATTTGTATTATACAACATTTAGGAGTTAATTGAAACATAACAGAAACGGAGGTTCTAACACAAGGACTTGTCTTTTTTCTCAAAGAAAACATAAGTGAATTGGGTAAATATAATAGAAATGCAAACAAATAAATCAACTGAGCGTCAGCACAATAAATACACATACATTGACAGTATCCTTCATGAAGGATTAAGATTAAAACAAAATAATCAAAAATAAGTGTGAACAAAAATCAAAAGGGGGAAAATCTTTTGGTTTAAATCATTTCGTTATTCGTATTCTTGCTGTATTATAATATATTGGACACACAAATTTACGTTTATTATATAGTTTAAAAAAGTTGTTGTACAAAATGCTAAGTTCGGGATATTTGGAGATCAACACAAAGTGAGTTTTTATAGCGAGCATTTCGTTGTTATCGATAATGTTGATATGGTTATGGATCTAGGAACTAAAGACCGTTAAATAAGACTGGACAGTACACGGATATAGGTGATCAAAAATTCGGGGTATACGTATAGAAGGGAAGAGAGAGATAGACAGATAGATAGACAGAGAGAGAGAGAGTGGGAGAAAGGGGACGCAACACAATGGCAGTAATCGAATTGTTTTTGACTGAGTTTTCATATATATAGATATAGGTATATATTTTACGGCTGTACGAGTATGACTTGGGCTCAGGTGTTTCTGGCTTCTTAAGAACAAAAAAAAAGAAGAACGGGAAGAACAAATAACTTGAATAACTTAGATAGTACGAATGTAGGTTGGAGTGTTCGTTGTGTGTTTTTATTATATTTTCTTTTAGCTTCTCTCGCTGTTGTACGCTCATGTTAAATTCATATTTAATTGCTTTCAAAATGCATACGAGATTAGCTCTTTGTTTTTGTTTTACTTTCATTTTATTTTTTTGAGGGGAATTGGGACTGGCCTGGTGTGAATTGGATTAAATTATTATTTAATTTACCTGTGTTACGGGATTCTCGCCCGGCCGATAGACGACGTTGTGCAGCGGTCGCTTTCGCCCCACGTAATTGACGCAGACAAACTCCAGCAACGAGGCGTAGATGAAGCACATGCAGACCCCGTCCCACACGTTCATCGCCGTCAGATTGGAGACCACGGGCAGGGTGCTCCGGAAACCGTTCGAGGTAGTGAAGAAATTCAGCATGGTTGTCACGCCTTCCGTTCGTTGTTGTAGTAGAAATTCGTTGTTGATTGTTGGTTGTTGATTGTGCATTGTGGATTGTAGAGAAACTTGCATTAGCCATTTGACACGTAATTAGTGAAGCACTGCACATACTTTGGGGGTCGTGAGAGGGGTGTGGTGGGGTCTTAATAGGGGAAGTATGTTCTGTGGCGTTTAGTTGAGATGTACAAAAGTTTTTAATTTGAGTTTTATCGTCCAGGACTCGGACAGGAGTCGTTATGACTTAATATGTTTGTTTTATTGCATTTTTCTTTGTTGTATTTTGTTTTTTATATTGATTTAGCGGTTCAGTAAATGTGCATAAGCTAAAGAAAAGTTAACGAAAACTACTAAGTTGATGACTGGAAATATTACACTAGAGTTTGAAATCAACGAAATTCTTTGAGCTTTAGGCATTCGATAATTTTATTTTGTGTTTTATGCAATTATTTTATTTTATTTTCATATTCTGGGGCTTTAGGTTAGTTATAAATAAAATATATGAAAAAAAAATTAAAGTATCTGATTGTATATTTGTATACAGCTATTCACGTTTGTATTAAATCAAGCACAATGTAATGAATAAGTTCCCTAAATTTTCTTTTGTATTCAGAAACTTATTTGTACTTTTATTGATTTTAATTAAATAGTTAACTTTAACACCAAAACAAAAATTCAGTTTTAATTTATGGATATTGAATGATTATTAATATGTTGATTGCAAGAGTACAAATGCAGCTTAATTTCTTTATTTATATATGTTTAAATCGCAAGGAAATGCTTACATATAAATACTTTTTCATTAAATATTCAGCGTTCGTTTTATTATTTATGATATCCATTAATTACCTTATCTATATTACCTTTTGCTACATACAAACTTATCTTTTTTACCAACATATTTAAAATAATAATTTAAATACCTAATTAATAGCCATTACATGTTAATCGTATCAAATTGTATAAATGTAGCTAAAGTGAATATATTGCTCTACCAAGTACAAAAGCTTTTCTTTCATTTATCACATTTTTTCCACCTTTGTTGAAGGTTTTGCCTGACATTTAATATTAATTATTCCTGAAATGGCCATTCGGCATGCGACATTATCAATCTTATGTTAGTTGCCTAATTAGTTTTGTCAACGAATCGCTGGCGGAATTTAACTGGGTTTTTGGCATCCTGCAACAAGGAGCACTTGCCGGATTCGCCTCGCTGCATTCACGAAACAGCATCGATTTTCAATTTGCCAGCGTTTCGGTATCCGCCCTCTGGCCCAAAAAGAAAATAGGAAAAATGTGATAAAATAGGGAAATCTCGAGGCTGCACTCTGCTGCTCAAAATGCTGCTGGGAAAAGCTGCTCGAGAAAGTCACAAATGAGGCAGGAAGATGACGCTGCGATCCCCTTCCAAGGAGCTGCCGATGCTGCTGCTGCTGTAAAATGCATGCAATGTCGGCACTTTGACTAACAAAACGGCATCGCTTGCCTTCAGCCATTTGCCATTTCGCTGCTTTTTTGACTATTTATTTATTTAGTTTCCTTTTGTCATTGAAATGTCGTTTGATTGTGTTTGCTCTGGGCAGACAATGGCAGCCAGAAATTGAATTATCCTTCCTCTGCGCTTTCTTGTTATTCGATTTCTGCATATACATTCTGAAGAAAAGCATTTACTGTCGTTGTAACTACTTGTCCCTTACATGAATGCTTTCAAAATTAGTGACATTTCATCAATTTGGGAATTTAATAGACTTTAAAAGTGTTTCAATATTAAAGTATAGTATAAGTAAAGTAGTTTTACCTTACAGCTCTTTGTTAACGTAATTTTCAATAGAAATCGCTTAACTAAAAGTCTAAAAAGTCTCGCTTTAAATGTGGCAAAACATTTTTCTAACAAAAACTAGTTTTTTCCCTGTGCAAATATTTTACTACAGCTTTAAGCCAAGTCAAGCTCTAAGCCTTTTATAATCCCCATCTGCCGTTTTTACATTTCTGGCCGTACTTTGTAGTTTTTGCATTACACGCACTGAGAACCAGTAGAGCTTTCTGTTCTATTTGCCTAGACCATGTTGCCCATATGGCTTATGCATAAATCATCATGTATGATGTGACCACCGCTCCACGTCATCATCATCATCATCTCGTAGTCCTTCTCATCCGTCGTCGTTGCAGGGAATCACCAGGAAAGGGCCGTGTCCGTGTCTGTGTCCGTGTCTCCTGTCCAGGAGCTAGAGCAGCTGCCAACGACGTATGAGTCGCAGGATATTTCGGTTGACATTCTCTTTGCATTGCTCCCATGCCATTTATTTCGGTTTCCTTTCCCACTTTGGGTCCAGGGATAGCGCATAATAATTGCATTAGCCTTGGTACACAGGATGCAAACAGCTGAGGCCAGGATAATAATCATAGCCTCTCTTAGGAATTCTTAACGTAAACCAAACTAATTTAAAAATATTATTGGAAATTGAATTAATGTCTAAAATTATTGAGGTACAGATTAACTATCAGAAGTCTCTAGTTAAATGGATTTATTTTTTTAACAAAACATTGAAGAACGTGTAATGTCGAAATAGAGAAGTTTCTTTTTCCTAAATTCAAAATAAATAAAAATATATAAAAAGGCTTTCCACACTCTCATTTTGACCTGTGGTATAAGTCGTACAGGAGTTTTACATCGCTTTTCCATATATCTATTTCTGTTACTAAAGGTAAAAACTGTACAATTCGCCAGCAGATAAAAACCCCTAAAAACCCATATTTTATATTAACTGTATCGTGTAAGTATTGTATTTTATGTTTTATGTATATTTTAATAGTTATTACTTATTTTCCATAAATGCATTATTTGATGCATATAGATTTAGATTTTTTTAAATATAAACTCGTAATTGTTTAAAACATTCGAATAGCCGTTTAAGCATATTGTTTTCTACATATATGAAATGCTTTAGTTGATTTTTCGTATACGGTTTTACCAAAGCTTCTTAACGAAAATAAAGCTCAAAATTTGCCTAGTTAAGGTTAAAAAATGTCATGCAATGCATAAGGTCAGAGGGGAGTTGGGCAGTTTACCAAATTTACGAGTGCAGGAAGTTAGAAAATACAAAATGAGGAAATAACTTTCGAAAGAAAATCACTCCAAGTAGTGAATTGAAATGAAAAAGGAATCCATTTAAATCGAGCGGCTAGCTAAAGTTGAACTTTAAATGGGTTAAATGCTCCTAAGCTCCTCTAGGCTTCACATACATCTAGATTTACTTTTGGCCAATTGTCTCGTGGTTGCGTTTCAATTTGGACTAAAACTCACTAAAATTGCGCTTTACACACGGCTACAAACTTCGTTAAGGACTAAATTGCGATTTGGATTATTTTTTCATTGATTTTGGAGTTGGAAGACTAAGATTTTGGTTTGTTTCCTTCAGTGAGAGCTCTGACGTTCTCTGGTTGTTTTGGTTTTTGGTTTTAGTTTGCTACGTACCGATCATAACCCGGGCTGGGACTGCATTCCATTCCAGCCAAAATGTGATAAACGACGAGGTGACCAATATAATGCCAGGTATGAAAACGGTTGTAAAATAATACGCACGATCACGGGTAAATGTCAACTCGACCTGTAGGCAACTGTAATTACCTTAAGAAACAAGGCCGGAATTATGGAAATTCGGCCGAGGGTTAACACACGCACAACACACACAGAGACAGACAGAAAGAAAGACAGAGTTATAGATAGAGGGAACAGTGCTGCCAACATGTCCTTTTTTACCAGGAAGATATATCTATTCTGAGAGAGAGAGGATAAAAGAGTTTCTTGCGATATTTTCTAGACTATACATTTTTTGAAATATTATAATAAATATATAATAAGGAATAAAAAGATATTTTTATTATTATAAAATTTAATTAAAGATTACAAAAGCTATTTGTAAGGACTTGATTTTAAGAAAAAGGATAACTTGCATTTTCAATGAACAGTAAAATATAAATTTATTTCGTTGTTTTTGAATTAAAGAAAAATGTGCCTTTGCATCATAATTACTGTATTGTAAATAGTATACTTTTAAAATTGTTCATATCCTTCCTGATTTGTAAATATGTTTTTGGCAGCACTGATGTGGTTGAATGACGCAGCACAGAATGCTACTAGATATTATTTGTTTTTAGAAATTATTCAAGGTCCTAGCCTAGACTAGACTATATCCCGCTTATGGCGTTTGACTGGCTCAACTATATAGTTTGGAAAACTAAAAAAAAAACGTATATATTTTGTATAAAAACTTGAAAAACTAAAATAGTGGCTTTGCTTTCGAGTCGGGTGGGATTTGGTTTTGGTGGCTCTCATACAAGGAAACAGAATCCATGCAGCAAACCTTAGATGAAAAAACTTAAAGCTAGAATCTTTGGGTGTGGGCATACTTTGGGTGTTTGGTTGGTCATTGTACTAATTTTAAGTATATTTTCATTGCTACTACTTTGGCCGCATTGAAATGAAGTGGAAAAGTGACAATCAGAAATCATAAAGTTGTACAAATTACATTACAGAAGAAGGGCAATCGAAAAAGGCAAATGCTACGAAAGGCGGAAAGTAAATCAATTCTCAATGGCGTACAAAATTGATTTTTGATTCGGTTAATTTCTTAAAAGTACGTATTTTTATTAAGAATTATTGTATATTTATTGGGTTTTTATTTGGCTTAGTGTGAGAGAGAGAGAGCGAGGGCAAAATTGGTAATGGTTTTGTAGGTTGATTTGATTTTGGTAGATTTGGTTGGTATTTATTGGTTTTGTTACCTATCATCGATCTAGCTGGCACGGCATTCCATTCTAGCCAGAAAGTTATAAAGGACGACGTCACCAATATAATGCCGGGTATAAAAACGGTGGTGAAATAGAATGCACGATCTCTGGTAAAGATTAAATCGACCCTAAGACAGCTGTAGTTCCCTAGGGGGCATTATATGTTTTGTGTTTTGATTGGATAGTTTGTAGCGTTTGTTGTTTATTTGTATTTTTTATTTGAGAAAAAAGGGGAAGTGGGAAGGTAGACAAAGATTAGACCATTAGATTGGCGTTGGATACTGTTTTAAATATATATAAAAGCTGCAAAAGCGATTCTAGCCGAGATCAGAGACGAAGTATATGGAGAAATTAAGACATAAAATTAAGTTTAAAAGCCAAGCCAAAGAATGGAGTCCGCTCGCAAGGAACCTAAATACGCCATATTGTATGTTACTTTTGGTTTTTTTTATAAAGAAAATACCATTATCACCAGAAAACACTACGGTTACTAAGGAGAAAACAATATTCCCAGCTGTAATTTCTTTTTTTTTTGTTGGCTAATACAAAGTGTAAGCAAATGATGTGATTTGCATGGAGTTACCAATCACTTACCTCTCCAGCTATTCTGATCACAGGCCGTCGTTTGATTCTTGATCAAATATGCATTCAGTGTGGTCAGCGAGGGACTTTTCCGCAGGGTGTCCTCGTCGTTTTTCCACACGTATTTGATTTGGGCCTCCTCGTAGGAAACTGTTGGGGAAAGCATAAGGAAGAAGTTCAAAAATAGCTCTCTCAATTAGATTACGTTCGTAACCCTAAATAATCCCATCACCGCACACACACACTCACTCTCAATCATCCCATTAATTAATTACATTAATGTAAATAGAAGGGGAATACCCAGACACATATTGTCTCCGGCTCTCAGACCCTGGAAATTAAATCATATTTGACAAACAAGCCATGACAAGCTGGCAAAAGGCAAAACACTTCGATGGATGTACCCCCATCGTAGATGAAAATCTCGGCAGGAACCGACATCATCATCCTCTCAAAGTAATTTACGATGTCGCTCACGTTCTTAGCCGTTGTTTCCAGGAGGGTTGGAAACCGGAAACGACTTTCGAAAACAATGTATAGACAATGGCGAGGCAAGCCGAAGTTTGAATGTCCTTTAAAATATAGTTGGATAAAGCTATGGATAGATTGACGAAGACTAGGTTAAAATTTCAGTGATATATGAAATGTTGCATGAATAAGAACACTTTAAGCTTTCTAAATCTATGTTTTATCACCTTTAAAAACAGGTTTTTAATACTCAATGATAATTGTAGCCAAATTGTCACTTCTTATATATTTATTAATGAATTAAGATACATATTTTTGTGAATATTCAAAACATATTGCCACACCCCTGAAAGGGTATCAAAGGCACATAAACCCGGGCTCTGGCTCTGTGTCTGCCACGCTGTGTGGCAGGCAGTCAGCCTTGTTAGTCACTTTGTCAGCTTTTGTCGTTTAGCCCTCCCTTCAGTTGGCACGGCCACGCCCCTTTAGACCCCTACCGCCTCCCTATTGTTGCACAAACACAGACAGACACAACAGAGCCCACAAACACACACAGAGAGACGACGAATGCAGATGGAGGCGAAGATTTCCCTTGAGTGGCAGTCAACACGCTCGCCTGCCCATCTTTTTATCATCACAGAGCATCAACATCTTGAGGTTCATTTTCAACACTCCGGAATTGTCGTATTATTTATACATTTCCTCCTACTGGCCCCGCTTTTTATGTCATTATTTGGGGATTTTCAGGGCAGCATCAGCAGCGGCCTTCATTTATTTTTCAATTAATCAATTTAATTTCTTAACATTCTAGGGTTTTCTCAAGAAATTGAGTTTTGGATTTTGAAATGGATAAATAATTATAATTAAATAGTGTGTGAGGGAAGAAATTTAAGATAATTGAAGATAGTCTTTATATTATATATGCCTTAAAAGCAATACTGTTTTTCGGTCGACTTTCCTAAGGCATTCTAATTCCAAGCCATCTCTAGTCTTATTCTTATTATAAACTATAATCCCTTTGCTATTTTCAGTAGGAAACACATTTGAACTTACTGCTCTCCATGGAGAAGGAACACTTTGGATCATCGAATGGAAATATATGCAGACTTCCCTGGCAGGATAATATCAGGTGACGTCTGGAAAGAGGAAAATAAATTCACAAAAGATAAGAAGAATTAGTAAATACAATAAACAAATTATTTAACAATTACTATTTCAAATGGAGATGTGAAAGAAACTCAAACTATGTCTGTTGAAAAGATACATAAGCATTTAAAAATGACGGTCTTGGAAGTCTTTTTTGGTGTGTTATAAATTTCCTTGTTTATTTATTTCCTAGTGCAAAATTTCTTCTATAAATTCCTTTTTAAAACCTTTTTCAGAAACTCAAATATAAATCATTTAGTGACCTCATATTCGTCTTAAGCTTTAATAGCGCCTCTGAGATTTTAATTACTAGTAAAAAAGCTAAATAAAAATTGTGCTTTTTTATGACAGCTCTAAATGTTTCTGCAATTTTTTAATGCCGTTTTGATGTGCACCTATCGGAAAACATGGCTTGACCTTATAATTCTTTGGACTTCGTCCTCGGGCAATTTAATGCTTGTCTTGGCCACTTAATATCTCGCTTTGTTCAGCTGCATTAATTCATAATAATTTCGCAGCCCGTGTCGCTGTCGCTTTCCCAGCAAGTTTCCACAGTTTTCCGCTCTCCGGACATTTCCCCTTGTTGGCTGTGCAAACACAGCACAGGACGAGAAAAGCTGGGAAAGTAAATGGCAACTGCAACTTATTTTAATTGCTGGACGACACTTTTGCGCTATGCAGTCAATTGGAAAAGTTCTGTTGAATTAAAAATGTAGACAAGCTGTGAGTTGTAAAAGGGGAAAGGGAGAAAGGGAAAGCGGGAAATGAAGACAAACATGAGCATCCAACAAATGCCGGGCATATTGTGAAAAGTTCTTCTCCGCTTTTCCTTTCTCTCAGCAAACAGCGCACGAGTCGAGCCTGAATTTTTCCACCTGGCCAGGAGTTGGCCTACATATATGTACGATATGTACGCTGTACCTGGCCAAATATTTGCAAACCTACTTTTTTTACTCACTTTACTCATATTCCTCTATTTCTTGTGCTATTTTTCATTACTGCCTCGTATGTTTGCCGGCTAGCTTACATATTTCGTGGACCCTTTCCCTCGATCTCTTGCTTTTCCACTGGCCCCCAGTGGAAACGTGGAAAATTGAGCAAAAGAAGCAACAGCAGAAAAATGTGCTGGGAGAATAAAAAAATATTGCCGCTTTGCCTGTCATCTTGCTCTCCCTAATGAATATGAACTTTGAGCGAAAAATTTGCATTTTCTGGCGCCATTAAAGCCGCTTAGCCCGGCCTCGTCTCCGGTTTTTGTATAAAAAATTCATTCATATTCAAATCGGGGCAACAGAACAGAAAAGCAGAAGCAGAAAACTGAAAACTGAAAACTGAAAAACAGAGAGCAGGGCTGATAGGACACACACCTCATTGCGTACGTAATGGTCCCGTTCCGAAATATTCTTAAAGCGAAATGCATTGGTATGATGGGATCCTTGAAATCGCCATGCATAATGAAATACGTATCCGGCGTCCAGATGCTATCATGATGATGCAGGGCGTTCAAGAAGTCGTAATGAGACTTATTGCCATACTGCAGTCGCGGGTCGTTCCACTGCTGGTTCAACAGGAACTCCACCTCGTATTTCTGCAAACAGTATCGAGAATTTATAGAATGCAATATATATTTGATATATATTTATTTGTGCACTCACCAGGCTGCTTTCATCGGGCGATGCTAAGCTCAGGAGCAGCACGTTCACGTTCACCGTCAGAGTGCCTATTAAAGAGGATTTCAATGTATACCAATTACTGTCTGCTTAAAATGTGTTTCATTTCAATGATGTTCAGTATAGAGTGCCAGAAGAACCAAAAATCTAGCTACCAAAATAATTCCAATTACTATTCAAAATATATATATTTTAGAGATGAGAGATGAAATAAATATATCAATAATGATTGTGGAAATCCTACAAAGGAAATTAAGTTCTTCAAATAATAGAAAACTATATTTAATCTATCTGAAAGGTGCATCTATTAAATGAAATTCTTGCGCTGACACCAACCGCGATTATGTGGTCTCCGTGCATTTTGATTTGTTGCCATATCGGGCGATTGCAAACCACAGCAAAAGTCTTCATCTGCAAAATTTTTAAAGAATAAGAATCTGAACAATCGTTTTATTTTCATTGTTTTTTCATTGAGAGATTATCTGAGATTATCCGTATTTTATGAGTACAGTTTACGATAGAAGCCTTCATCACATCATATTTATTTCAAACAAATAATATTTATGTCAAAAATATCGAATAAGAAGTTACTGACACACTTTGACCTGATACACTTTTACAAATTTAAATTAATTTGATTTTATTATTACTAGATTGTTACCTAATTAATACCCCAAATCTGGAAAGTTTAGTCAGTCCGATACCTCGCTGTAGTATTAATTTTGAGGAAAAAGAAAACAAATATGAGTCCACAACGTCCTACCAATTTTTTCTATTTACTTTTCAAAGCGACTCCTAAGCTTTGACTTTTCATTTATATATATTTGTTTCATAAATTTATTTCTACCACTTACAAGGATTCCCTATGCCCCAAGTAGTTGTCTATCTTATTTTCCTCTGAGTTTCTTCAATCAATATTTATCTTCCCTCTATACATTGGCATCTTATAGTTCTGCAAGTTTTGCCCTCAATAACAAAGTATAAAATTTTACAACTGCCCAAAGAATGTAGCGTAATGATTTCCCAGGGCATAAACATATAGAAAGTAATGTAATTGCATTGCATAGATGGCCTGCTCGAGATTGTGGTGGTTCCCGGAGTCAGAGTCCTTGTGGTAGTGGTCACTTCTTTTGTGCATCACATCCAGGCCAGTCCAGGCCAGGGCAGTGGAGCCATTAAGTTTAATTGATTTTATAGTGTCCATATATCGTGGCCATGCTGCTCCAATTGTTGTCATTTGGCGAGAAATGAGAACTGAAAGACTGAAAGTGTCCCGGATCCCCCAGACCCCTCTTATACCCAAACTAAGTATGAGCTGGAATCATTGTTCTCTAACGCTCACTTAGGAAAATTGGAAATTTAACCGAGACAATGGGACAAGTTTGTGGAACCTCTTACCATTTACCGGCGGCAGTAATCGTTTGTCATAGCGCTTCTTCTCGAGCAGCAAATCTAATATCTCCTTATCCGAGCTGGACTCGTCGAATCTGCGAGGAAAATGTGCAATGGTTTGTTTTCTAATTAATAATTGCCCTAAGCATTGCAATTCATGTTAATTAGTGTAAGTAATTGTCAAAATATAAAATCATTGGTTACTTTCCCAGGGACTCTTTTATGTACAACAGTTTTGTGTGCTGTTATAAATAGATGGGAAGATTGTTAGTTTATGGATAATAGATAAGTCTAACAAGAGAACCAAATGATAGATAATATCATAAAACCAAAGAGTAGGCAGCAAATTAAATTATTTTCCTTTTGCTTGGAATTTATTCGTAAAAATACAAGAATATTTTGGAACATCAGAACTGAATTAATTATTTGTTATATTAAGCTTAAAACTATACAAATATTTAGCCCGAAAAATACTTGCATTTCAGTTTGGGCAAATAAAAAATTCGTTTTTCAAATCACATGCACAACGTCAGCAGAACGAAGCTGAGAAAAATCAATTACCCCAACGGGAAATCAAATTAAAAACTAAAAAAATTATATTTGTGCACAAAACTAAACTTGATAACCGAAAAAAAATTTAGTTTTGCTCGTTTTCCAAATATTCTCTGATTTCGTATTTCATTTTCCGAGATTTTTAGAGAGAGAAATAGAGATAGGGAAGGAGGTGTGCAATAACTTACTTCGACCAATCGATGCCATGACTGAAAGAATTTCAAAAAGGAAAAAATAAATAGAAACATTTTTGAACGTGTTGTGGAAAGGATTGCCAGGCGATACAGATTAATGGATAAATATATGGAGAGACAGAAAGATAGTTTGAAAGATACGGAGGCAGTGTCTGTGTGTAATTGTGTATGAGAGATCAAGGATAACAAAATCAAATGGATGTGTTCCAGAATGCTGTTTGGGTTTTTCTATGTCACAAATCCACCTTGATTTTAGATCAAATTTGCTAAGAGTTTCAATATTAATTACATAATCTTTTTGAAACACATATGTATGTATCTTTACCCTTTTGCAAAGCAGTGAAAGTTATTTTTTATTCCATAACCCTAAATTCTTTTTCGATCACACAGTCATTCATTAAATTTGTAAAAAATTCACAAAAATTATAATTTTTAAACATTTTAAATTCAGTATTCACAAAAATTTAGATATCAAAGTTTGATTTCAAACTTCAAGGGTATAAAAACTTTTTAAAAATTAGCTTCCTTTCTTGTTGCATTGCTTTAATAATCATTGCATACTTTTAAACGCTTCTTATATTGATTCATATATGCATAGCTTTAAATTTCCCTTCATCACTTATCATAAAATCAAGGTGGATTTACCAAGAAAACATAATTAAATGCACATTTTGGGCTGCTGCACTCCCACAGCCATTGCACTCACATGGGATGCTTGTCGAGGGCACCCGTCTCCGACTGCGTGGCGGCGGCCGTGGACGTGGTGGTCAGATAGCACAGCATCAGGATGACGCTGGAGGCGGCATAGAAGCTAAAGGACTGGCTGTAGTGCTTGTAGTGCTGGCCGAGATACTGGAAGGCAGCCGTCGAGGTGGCCGCCGCCGTGGCGCTCACATTTGCAATGATCGCCGCTGACATGGAGGCGGGCATGCGGTTCGCCACGTCCTGCTCGTGATCCAGCTCTTCCTCCTCCTCCTGTGCCTGCCAGGGCCGGTAGGCTATGTCCCCCCTAAGGTCCCGGTGGGGATCCTGCTTCTGGAGCATTCTCGCTAAGGCGGCGAGGGCTTGGAAATGCAGGGAGAGCGCAGAAATACCAGCGGCGGCTGATCTTGGAAACTCAGAGATCTGGGCCGGTTGACGCCTCCGCCGGTGGATGAGAACATGGTGCTGGTGCTGGTGCTGGCGGTGTTGCTGCTCCTCATCGCCTTGCTCGGTGGCAATATCGATTTCGATTCTGTCGCCTCCGTGTGTCGCCAGCTCGTCCTCGCCCTCACCCTCAACCTCACCCTCACCCTCGTCCTCGTCCTGGTCCTCGCCTTTGTCCTTGTGCGTTTCAGCCACTTGACTACCACAACCGCTAGCACTAAAGTCCTTGTTGTTCTCCTGATGTGGCTGCCGTATCGTTAAAAGCACTTGAGCCGTCGCTTTTAGATGTTTGGGCGCAGTTTCTGTTTGTGTTTCTGTTTCGGCTTGCGTTTTATGATTTTGTTGATAGTTATCCTTGATTTTGATGTCCTCAGCTGGTTTGCCACCGGCCCTGCTTCTCCTCCCCGCCGCTGCTCCTGCTTCTGCCCCGGCTCCTCCCACTCCCGCTCCTGCTGCTTTTCCACGGCATTGATTTCGCCTTAGTTGCTTGATTTTCGGTTTGTGGGGCTGCTCTTTGGCCGCTTCAAAGGCGCAGCCCATGTTACGACAACTGCAAAAGGGAAAAGTTAAGGAAAAGCATTAGGTAAAGCATCTATAAAGATGTTTTCTACATGATCTTTCTGAAAGTCATTTAAGAAACCATGAAATATAAAGAAATATAGTCCAAGTAAATTTAATCTCTCTTAGATTTAAGTGTACTTTCTATTGAAATATTTTATTTCTTCGTTGTAAAAGGGTTTTAAAAAATATTTTCACCTGGAAATTAGGTCATTTACTATAGAAAAAACTTTACTCAACTGCTGAGCATTGCCACCCGCCCATAAAAAAAAACTAATTAACCTCGACGAAAGCGAAAGCAATCCGCTCGATGTACTCGCAATCTAAAATAAAAATCTATCGTCACCCACTTGACGCTCGTTTGCAGTGACTTGGCCACATCAACACTGACTTTTCCGCTTTTCCTCCTTCCACATATAGCATATACTCTATATACTATATACATTTTGATTGATGTGGCAATATCGGATTGTTTTTGGCCCGTCGCTGTGCCACGCCCACCTGCGTGCACACCTAGCTATAAATGTCAGTTGCCAAATAACACGGTTCCTGCAAACCGAATTACGATTGCCAATGAAAAACTTTAATTTTCCCCGGTAATTTCCAGCCTAAGTTTTCGATTTAGTGAAATTCTATAACATTAGTTGACTGGCGGTGTCTCCGAGATGTCTGTTATTATTAAGGTGGTTCGACTTGTGGGTGAAGTTGGTATTGAATTTTGTAATAATATTAGGTAATTTTATGTTATTATCATAAAAATATTTAAGGCAAGTAATTGTATTTAAGGAATTATGTAAAATAATAATAAATATTAAAAATGAATTATTAATGTTTTTCTAGTTATATTGCAGGAACTTGCATTCCTAACTCTATAGAGAGTTTAACTTGTTCTCAAGTCCTATGACTTATTACTACTTATTCTTTATCCTTTATGTATAATATTTAAAAATTCTTTCTAAGATAAATATTTCAGTCTTTTAAGGCCGCTTTTCTACCCTTGGTTTAGGCCACAGAGCCAAAAACCGAATGTCAGTCAGCCAGTCAATGGGCCAAACGAATTTTTATATTGTTGCATGTCAAAGGCTGTCTTTTGGCTGTCTTCCCCGGGTTGCTTTTGTTGTTAGTTCGGGTTTTGCCATTATGGTTGTTCTTGTTGCTGTTGCGGTTGTCAGTTTGTGGCCAAGTCAGGGCGAAATGCAATTTTCATTTCGGCCAGAGAGTAAATGTATTTTTCAAGTAGGAACCCCAGCTTGGCTCTACTATTTTTTGACATTTATTTCAACATGCAAAGGCTCGAGCGGGCATTGCACCATGGCCGAAATGAATTCGAGCCGCAGGAATTCAATTTCCTCTGTTGCTCTAAATAAAACTGGCGTATAAATAGATATCCATTGAGCCGAAGTGATTTGGGTCTGATTAGTTATGTCCGTGTGTCTGAACACACGTTGGTTGTTATGGGTTCATATGACATAATCGGCTTATGCCTCTTTTGCTTTGTTTTCTTTTTTATTTTTTGCTTTTGTTAATACTTTTAAGCAAAGTTTAATGATCAACCAAACCACAGTCCAATTCAAAGTTGATTGCCTGCACAGCTTATTCCCCAGCATATGGAAAAGCCAAAGAAAAACTTTGGCATCCTTTTTGCCTTTGAAGAACCGCACACAGAACACAGACAAACCCACCGAAAAAAACAGGCACTCAGTGGCTTTTGTGGCTCTTCCTCCTACATATTCAGGGTCTTCATTATACATTTATTCGATTTTTACGTGACTTTGGCCATAAAGCACAAAAATAAACCCCAAGACGGCAGATACGAAAAGTAATAGGCGCAGGAAACTAGGAAAGGCCTAGGAATGGGCCATGTAAATGGCTCTCATATACAAATTGGTACCGATATGTTTGTAGTCTTTATGCCATACGTGTTTTCGTTAGCCGCCTCACTCCCGTTCTCTCTTCCCCTCACATGTACCAGGACAATTATTGACCTCAATCTATTTTAAGCGTTAGCTTCTATGACTCCTTTTTTCTGTGCCAACGAAAATGTCAAAAAACTTTAACAGAATGGCAACTTTTCGGTCTGATTATTGAGTGAAAAGTGTGGGAAAGGGGAGCAGAAATAGCCGACCATAGATCAGTTCAACCAGGGCTTCCTCCGAGTCCTTCCCGCTGATATCCTTTATGCCTTCCGGGGCATAAATTTGCACAAACCGCTGCGCTGCAGCTTGGGCAAAGTTAATCCTTAGTCGTCTGGCGGCCGGAAACGGCGCCAACTGACAGGCGGGGCCAGCAACTAACCCAAAACACAACCAATCCCCACTGGTTTTTCCTACATTTCCCATTTTTTATATATATACATATATATGTACCTCGTCCATCGTTGTGCATTTCATTTTTCGCTCTCAACTTTTTCATATTTCCACTGAATGGAGGAGCAACTTTTCAAATTCCGTATCTGGGTATATTATGCATTCCTTTTTCTTTTCGTATTAATATTTTTTTTTGTGCTGCTGTTAGTGACTTGTTCAGTCAATTTAATAATTTGCTGGTAGTTCTTCTTCGCCTCTAAATTAGTTGACACTGTGCGGCAACATTATTTGCATACTTTTGGGGGCGGCCGCTGTTGTTGCGGTCGGGACCACATGTCGGATACTTAATGCCGCACACATTTCGAGCACGTTTTGTGTGGGATCAGCTTTAATGGCCCAATTAGCAATTTTACCCAAATCAAGCTATAATCCAATTAGATGCGAGTCCAACACTTTTCAAGCCGAGCCAAGTTAATTGAAAATTCCATTAAATTTTGATGTGGGAGGAACTACATCCCCAGGATGAGTAATTACAACTTTCACAGCTCTTGGTCATTTGACAGGACTCGGAGAGGGGTCATTATTCTCAAATTAAATCAAGGATTTCCCGGAAAGTTTTAGTTTATGGAAAATAAAGAGTAATTGTTTATTTTATGTGATACTTGAAAAGTAATAAGACGTTTACTGCATTTACAAAAGGTTATTTTTTTAAATATCATTATTATAATTATTTCCCACCAAGTCTTCTTTATTCCCTTTATAAAAGTTGGATAAATTCAAGCCTGTCTGAATTTATTGCCAACTTTTAACGAATCTCTTTTAGGAAAAATATATTTTAATTTTCCATTAAACGTCCAAGTTTCGGTCACAGGCGAATGGGTAACCTCAGTAAACAAAATAACAATAAAAACTTTAGCCACAACAACAGCAACAGCATTTGCAAAACAAAAATTACAAACAACTTGCTATCGATTTTTTGGGCGTCAGTGTTTGCCATTGTTCGGAGTCACGAACTTTCCAGTGACAGAAAAGACAACAGCAAAAATAAAGTTGATTAAACCCATTGAAATGGTCTCTGGCTTTTACCGTGCATATACACACATATAAATATATATATCCACGTATATATAGTAAAGATTGCGGGCGGGCCAACAAGAAAGGCTAAATGGAGGCATTGTTGTGCTGAAAACAGCTTAACAAATTATTTATGTGGACAACTCAACAAATTGTCAATTACTTCATTGTTCTTGAAAAGGAAAAAAAATATATAACATTGAATGCATTATATGCAGTACATGTTTTATACTTATCTTTGGAAATCATACTTTTTTTAAGGATAATGTTTTAAATGTTGTATGCAAATTTACATTCGAGTAGATTATTACTAATTAATTGTTTTATTTTACGCTAAATATAATATTGGCAGCCTTATTTTCTTTTATAATATTTTAATACTACAGCCTGCAGTATATTCCAATTAAAGATAACCCCCTTTAGCAACTGATCATCCTGAAATTACATCAGCTTTCCTGGAAACTCAATCAAATCTGTGCAAAATGGATTCCATAATTAATGGGCTTAGACTCCCCGCTGGTCATAATACTGGACCATAATCTGTTGCATTAAGAGTTATTAAAATGTCATGGCATAGACCAACAAATTTATGGCCAGGCAAATGTGGTAATTGAAGAAGGCCACTTGACCCAGTTTCTTGGCCCGCTCCAACTGCAATTGGAAATTGGTAATGCAGACACTGTGAGAGCAATCTGCATGCCGTCATGCCTAATTAAATAACTCGACGGGGTAGGTAAGTGCATCCAAGGTGATCTGGAGTGGAATGGAGTCCTGACTCCGGATGTGGAGTCGATGGAGTCGTGCCGCTGCAGTTCATTCGCATTTCAATTAAAAGGCGAGTGCAGACACAGAGACACAAACACTCGGAAAATGGCAAACCACTCAGAGGGACGCTAAGCCGTTTAGGCTTAAGTCAGCTTATTGCTCGGAAAAGTGGAACACGCGACGACATAGTTGCCACACGACGACGACGACACCGACGACTACGACGACCTGTTGGGATACCTGGTCCGGGAATTTTCCAATAATCGAACGCACAAGTTTAATTAATGCCAGCCAAGAAGTGTAATTGAATAAGAGGTGTTTCCGCCTCCTGGCATTGTGATTATTTGATTGCAGATCACAATTTGGTTATTTTCAATTTGAATTCCTAAGTATTCCTAATGAGAGCTTAAAACTGCTTAGCTGCTGCAGAAATCAGAGATATACAGAGGCATATTTTACATAAATTAGTATTTGGAAAATGGTTTAATTTTGAAAATAAAGGAATATACAAAATGTACACTACATTTGACGCCTGAAATAATTTATTGCAGAAAGATGGTTTAATTTTGAAAATAAAGGAATATACAAAATGTACACTACATTTGACGCCTGAAATAATTTTTTACATACCTTTCGATACCATTCTGAGTATTTCACATATATATAATATATATATTATATATAATATATATATTATATATAATATAAATATATATATTATATATAATATAAATATTGCATTAAACAGTAATCTAAATTCAGACTGAATATTAAGCTTTTCCGACAGTTAAAGTGGGTAATAATTTATTAATTATAAATGTATCATCCTTTAGTCCATCTGCCATATTTCTATCAAATTGAATTTGCATTTTAAAAAGTTATAATTTAATGGAGCCCCCTCAAAATGTGCACATTTTAGTAGCTGGGGAAATGGTGTAACCAAAATCGACTCTACTATATATGCCATATGAATATGATTCATCGCTGAGGTGAGCCATTTAACCCAGCTAATTGCACATTTTGACAGTTTGCGGTGCAAACGTTTGCGCAAAGTTAACACAGAATGACAAAGTGCAAATGTGCAACGCTCGTGTGTGGAGATAGAGCAGGAATTGCGGTCTGACTTGGGGATGAGGATGGCCCTGGGAGTCAGTAGTAGTAGTAGCAGCAGGAGGAGGTGGCACAGAAATTCCTGTGCTTGGTATCACATTCTGTTTACAATAAGCTTGGGTCAGCTCGATGAGAAAACACACACATCGCAGTAAAGCCAACATGTTTTTACTTCTTTTTGTGTTTTTGTATTCCCCAGACGGAAATCGAACAGCTGCTGGGTTTACAAGTTGGCTTCGCCAGTTTGCGGTTACTTTCCCGGTTACGCAACACACACACACATTTCCAAAAGAGGTGTACTTCGATATTTTTTATTTATAATTAAAGTGAATAAATGGCGGTAGATACACGCTGTGGTTATACATACAGTGACCACAGAGTCCCTTAAATTGAAGCGGAAGTGTGTCACATACAATTGCGACCAGAATAATGACACTGAAAATTAAACCCAATTGACATTTGACACTTCGGTGATACTCTTCGTTTTAAGAGGGTTAAGGAAATCATATACTAAAAGAACAACATTGCATCTTATCCAATAATTAAAACAAAATACATATATTACAGTTTAGTTCAAATTATATTTAATTTGACAGGAAAATTAGATTGCTGAGCAAGAACTAGACTTCAATTTGTCCTAGGAATATTTATATTGATGTGAGTAATACAGTTAGCTTTTAGAGAAACTTAACAAGGTTTATTCAAATTATAATAATCCTTTTCTATTTATATAGCATCAGGATTGTCAAAAGCTATATGACCAACTCTAATGGCCCTTTCAATTGATTGTTTAAGTAATTAAGCAATCGAAACGAGCAATCCCCTTGATCCCATTTTCAGATCGAACTTTTCCAGGCTGTGTCCTTTTCAGTTAATATATATATATATCTATATATACTTTTTTGTGCGCCATCGAACCCGAAAGGCTTTTGTTAAAGGGGCATTAGTTGGATTTTGTTTGGGGCTCGAGGACGAACATAAAATATCTAAAGGGGGGAGTTGGAATGCTCTTGGTCCTGTCAGTGCCACTTAAATGCCATGCATCATGGAAATTTATGTGAATAAATTATAATCAAGCAAGGAAAAAACATACAGAGCGTAATAATTCAGATTAAAAAGTATTTATACACATGACACACTTGGTGGAGGGGAAATGGCGGGATGGATGCCTGGAGGATGCTCCTCTGGGATGGAGGATGGGTGGCTTTAAGCTGCCCACTGGTCACGCGTATTCGCTGCGTGTGTCCTGCGCTGATTTCGCTATAATAAATTGACATTTTTTGGACATTCCTCTTGAAGTGGCCGCTGTTGGGAAAACTGGGGAGCTGTCTGTCATTTAAGCTGCTCTCTGGGATTTTCCCCTCTCGTTTTTTATTTTTGCTTGCTGGTTTCAGTGGTTGGGCCAAGGCAAGCAGCTTATGGCGCTATAGGGTTAAGAGTTGAGTTGCAGAGGATTCGAAGGACATGCTCTATATCTTAACGCAAGTTATTTCTTGAAAGTTTTTAATTGACAAATTGTTAAATATCAAAATATCAAATTTTAATTGGAATAAATAAATCACGACTGTTCTGATTTAAAAGAAGTGTCAATCAAAACTAAGAATGTCTGCATAATAAAGTTTATCTTCCATTTGCAAAATACAGTTTTTGTTGCATGTTTTTCCTCTCCACCAAAAAGCTTGGAAATCAAAACTCTGGGGTTTTCCGCAACCAAAAACCGAAAATTCCCCTAAGAAAATTACAGGAAAAAGCAATAAGCATTCAAATAACAAGTACGACTGGCAACATAAGAAGAGCGAACAAGCAGCGACAAATAATTTGGCACAAAAGCAAATAAACAAGATAAACAAACAAATAAACAAACAGACAGAGAGACAGAGAGAGTGACAGACAGACAGGCGGGGAAACAAACACGAAGCGAAGACGCAGAAGACGCAGAAGACGCGACAACGACAACAGCGAGGAAAGTAAAGACAAAAACAAGGCAGGCCAAGTACCAAAGCACATAATGAGCATAATGGGCGTGTTGAGAGGGCGGGGCATGTGCCTGCGGCATGCCCCCCTCTAATTCAGACTCCTCCCCCCCTCCCTTCCGAGACGAGTGCCAAGGAGCTTTTTGTGTTGGTTTCTCTCTCTTAGTGCCAGAATAAGCGCCACTTTACATGTAGACACACACATATGCAATTCATACACGCACACACAGACTAATATACACCGCGAAAGACAAAATTATAAACAATAAAATTCCTAAAATTCTAATGTATTCTAAGCTCATGAATTAAATAAATTAAAATATTAACTATTTCCGTGTTTAGAAATGTTTATATCTCTCTAGTTCAAATAACTTGTTATCTCTAAATTCAATAAATCCCCAAAATTTTCCCCAGTGTATCCGTAGAGTGGGACCAAAGGAGGTTGCTTTAGGGGCTGTGTCACCCCTTCTGGCGGGATGCAGTTACCAGCTGCAGCTGCATCTGCAAAACGAGGGCAAAGGCACGTCGCCAACCATTTAAACTAATCTTGAGGCAGTTTATTTATATATCTCAAGGGTCGTTTGTCCCAACAATGTGTCCTGCTTATATGGGAGCAGATATACATATGTACATAGATGTTCGCATATATAAACCAGAACTAAGCTCAGGTAAGCCATAAAAAAGGGGAGCGAAAAAAGGGGAATTTATAAAAGCTAACTTCCCCCAAAGAACAAACACATGGAGGAGATCTTCTATATACATATGTATATAGATACTTTGAAAATGCATTTAGGGGACATTTATATAGAAAAAGATAAAAGGAATCCCAAGATGGTTCTGATTAGAGAGAAAATATGTTTTTATCAAAGGACAAATGGGGGAATAAAGGCTAACTATTATTTACTTTCAAGAAGTTTAGATAATAAATTATTTTAAAGACTCTCCAGTTTAAAATACATTTTTATGTAGCTCTTCATTTGCACTTGCTTTCTTTTGCAGGAAATGCGTTAAACCTTCAATTGATTTCCCATGTTTACGCTTTAGTTGAACCTTCTAATCCGCCTCAAAGGTCGTCAATTACATGAATTGAATAGATTACTCGGTGCTCAGGGCACTCCCTCTTACCTCAGAGGTCGTGGACGCACACTTGACTGACCTTTGCCTTAAGTAATACCCCAGGTTGAGGCGATTTAATTTCAATATAAATATTATGCCATAGACCACAAATCTGCGGGTCATAAGCCGCAAGGACACGCCGCCACAGGACATGCAGCTCCTTGGAAGCTTACGAGTCCAAGCCTCGAGACTATGCCCCACTGAACTTGGACTAAAGCAGCCGGAAATTAAACACACAAAAGTTCCCAAGACTTAGCCCGCACCTTCACAAATACACATGTACACAGGTGCACTGAGGGAAATACAAAGGAACTGGGTAAAGGTATTCAAATTAAATTTAAATTTCTAAAATGTATACTTTGAATATTTTACAATGCTATTAATATGGTCCTCTTGTTCCAAATTTTTAGTACAATTCTCCCTTATTTCTCCCAGTGCCCATGCAAAGACTGCTTGTTAGCGCTTTGCATTTTTTATAGCTGGCATTTGGCTTTATTTTCGCTCGCAGGAGATTCCTTACAAGCGAATGCATTCAACGCAGATTCTGTTTGAGCTCCTGTTAAGGCTCTGAGCCAGCAAATGCCGTCATATTGTGATTGAAAGGAAATGTGTTTTCGCTCCACTCACCAAAATTAACTCCGCAGCCAGTTCAATGGGATCCGCAACCGCACCGTGTCCGCATGGGCCGACCTGCTGGAAGAGAAAAGAATTAAGATAAGCCAATTAAAGCAACCAATTATTACGCAAATATAAATATCAACACCGAATGCCCGCACATTTTCGCACTTGCGGATTATTTGCTCTCAATGGGCATTAATTCCCCATTGTCCAGGCCCCAAAACAACAGCTTTTAGATGAAATTGAACATATGACACACTGGCAGGAGTAAATGGGGCTAAGGCCTGAGCCAACTTGGAATTCCCAAGCATGTGCCGGTGGAGCAAGTGATGGAAATCACTTAGCACGGATCGGTAAGAGGGCAGAGGGAAGCTGGGTGACGACGACAACAACCACGACAGCCAGGATATGACAGGACACGAAAGGGCGGTTAAGCGGAAGGGTGCTCTGTGAATGGGGATTGTGTCTGAGTTCTTAATGAGCTTTTGTCTGCTGCATACTTTTCAGCGCTGTGCACTGGAGACAAGCCTGTGCGTCTTGGGCTTTGTTCAAATATTTGACAGGCGACCGAGGGGCGGGGCCAGTCCCTTTGGCCATTATTGCTTACTTTCTCAAAAGAAGAGGAGGGAAAACTAATGAGGAATAGGAAAAGGGGAAAATAAAGCTGGGAAATCAATGACTTTAACTCAGTATTGTAGAGACGTATGAGTGGTAAGATCCTGATCCTAAAACATATTTACTTCCCACTTACTTATAATTTTGTTCAGAAATAACATTGCCAAGCATCGCCTTATTTTATTATCATAAATATCAAAGCACAAAAAAAAGTAATACTAGAAAAAACATAAAGAAACTCATTTGAGTTTACCAAACTTCTTGCTTTAATCCCAATTTCCGTCTGCCATAACCATATCAATATCTTGTTTATAGCCCGCTCAGCATATTGAAATTTTCGGCCACTTATTTAATGCACTTAAGCCATCAGCTCGGACACATACTAAATCACTTAGGGGCAAGTTCAATCAAACGAGTTAATAACTTCCGCAATGTGGCAGCCAAAATTAACCATAATTCACATGCCACGACCAACTAACCGAGCTATTAGCCTTCTGGTCTCAAAGCTCCGGAGCAGGATATCAGGCTCTGTGCGCCTGAATGGATGGTCCGAGTGGGCCAAGACAGTCGAGGTGGAGCTCTGGGTCGGGGTCGGGTAATATGGTAATTTTAGCGCTTGTCTCTCCACGGACTCACACGGCAATCAGCACACACACACACGGGCCCAGGTACACAAAGAATAAAAATGCCGGAGCACATGTCACATTTGCCACATGAGTTAACGTAGCTCATTTATCATGGCCCCTTCTCCCTGCCCGTGTCGCGACTTCGTCCTGCGTTGTCCTTCATCCTACTGTCTCCCTGAGGCGCTGGTTCAAGGTGACCAAGGCATTTGCCGGCCAATCTGTGGCCGCATTTTCACGGAAGGCACTCGAAAAAATCTATCTAGATTTGAGCAGGTATTTTGTACATATATGTATTTAATTTTTTAATATAATAGATTATTAACATTTAAGTTTATAAGTTAAAAAAAAATCTTAAATCTTAAAAATAAATGAACCTTAATTTGTAAAGCCATGTAAATAGTTTATACTTTATGTCTCAGTAAATTTGAAATAAAATTACTAAGTAAAAAATTTAGAATATATATATCTCCAACATTTTGTGAAAGCTTATTGCTGACTAATAATAAATATTTATCGTATATTCGTATATTTTGAGATATATATATTTTTAAGCTCCTTAATTTGTAAGCATGTTATATAATATTATATATGACTCTGATATCAATATTTTTAAAATCTGAAATTATACTTTACTGTTTCATGTAAACAAGTTAATTCTTAATGTTTTTACTGTATGCTCAACACCAAAATCTAATTGTAGCCCTAAGGCAGGAGCATAGGCAATGGCTCTGATGGTGGCACAACTTTAATTACGGTGGCCACGACTCCTCGACAGAATGGACTCCATTCCCGGTATCACAATGCAATATTTATTAGTGCGTGTGCCGGGGCTCCCTGGGCCTCCACTGGGTATATATAATAAATACAAGTATATATGCATGCGACCATACGCTGTGTGTGGCCTGGCATTATATGTCGCCTGACTAAATTTAGATATGCAAATCGATAAAGAGAAAAAAATACCAAGGCACGCACGCATTTTTAGTGCCCAAGTTTCTGCTTCGAAACGTTTTTCCAGGTAGTAGAGTAGGAGTTGGACTCGGAGAAATTGGCTGGGACTGAGAGACATGTGTGTAAAGGTCGCGCTTTTGTTATAATTGTATACAGATAGTAAAAGCCTTACCCCATCAAAGCGATTTACAAACCTGCCACGAGCCTTCGCCCCCGACAGAGGCTTAAGATTTAGGCTGGCCCGATAGCATTTCACATGAAATGCCAACCCATTTGTTTGCAATGCCTAGTGGTTGAGTACTAAAGTCGAGAACAACTTATTTAAATGAATTGTTTTATACATATACATATAAGAAACATTGGTCTTGGTATTACCGCAGAAGTTAACTTGGAAATTAGAGTGACAAAAGAGAAGCAAGTGGTTTATATGATAATTTACAACATTTAATATTGAAAATAATTCAATATTAAAATTAATTGATTTGAAAATATAGGTTGAAGTTATAAAAGTTGTAAATAATTATAGTAATAAAAAATTCGACACAATTCTTCACCTAAAGTATTTTTAATGAAATCTTGATATATCATATGATATTTCAGTTCATTTTATAAAGTCATAGAAGCAAAAGTAATATATTGATACATCAAAGAACTTACCGTTGTGAAAAAAAAAACAATTTTATCGATATCGATTATAGCGTCATATTTATCGATTAAGGTGAATACCATAAAAGCCGACCTACTTCTATTAGAAAATAGTTTAAAGTCCAACATCCTTAATGGAGTTCCATAAACACAGCCTAAAATCGCTGCCAGGTGCAAAAGCTTTCAGGATCCGCCTGTCTTGCTTAGCCGTTTACCTTTAATTATAATGTTTGACGCCTGCCCCAATGTAATTGAGGGGCTCCCGGCCTGAAATATCGTAGTCCTTGCAGTTTAGCATCGTGGGAACTTAAACTTTTGTTTTACTTTCACTAATTGAACCAATTGGGGCCACACAAACACAGCACAGTATATATGTATATATATATATATATTCATATATCTTTTTCCGATGCCTGAGAGCTCTTTGCAATATTTATGGGCATATATTCATTAAATAATTAGGCCTCTGCAAGAGACCAATTCACAAGGATATAAATGAAATTTATGTCAAATGCCAGGGAATATAAATTTATACCCAGTGCAGTGGGTCGCACAAAGGCAGTATAGTTTCAGTTGCACTTCATTTAATAAAGCAAATTGCACAGACGGGGTGAGTGGAGCGACTTAATTAATAATTTATACGCAGCTTGTTAACACTTTTTACCCTCCATCTCCTTTAAATTTTTGTGTTTTTTTACCATCATTTTCTGTGTTTGTTTCTCTTTTATGTATATGTATGTATGTTTATATATAATTTTGCTGTTTTCGTTGTCGGGTCGGGGCACAGAGCCGCTGGTTATTTGAACTGGGCCCGGGGAATAGGGTTAAGTTTTTGAGCCAGACTGAGATAGACAAAGTGAATGGGAGAGAAGGGGCGAAACTAGAGCAGACTTAGTCAAGGTGTTTGGGGTCGAAAGGTATTACAACATTTTGTTGGGATTTTCTTTGAGGTTGCCTCTCATAAATAAAACTTATTGCAAGCCAGTGATTTTTAGAATTTATGATAATGTAGCATCAGTGGAAAAGGTACGACTTAAAAACTTAAATTTTGAGAATGCAGCCTGATCTTTCCATGAAAAGAACCTATAGGAAAGGAAACAAACTTTAACATAAACTAATACCTAAAATATGTTTCCTATTCCTCTGATATGGTAAGAGAGAGCAGAGTATAAATATTGATTATAATTTCGGTGCCAATTAAAGCTCACCCAAAAAGCACAGTAAATGGAAAAATCACAGAGAATAGGTTCTGATTTAAATTTGAATGGAAGCCACACAAAAAGTGATAATTCGATTTAATTAGAATCATAACTACACACACTTTAATTTGATAAAATCTATTCCGCCATTTGTGCAATTAACATTCAGACTCGCTGTGCCACAGATGGGATGGCGATCTGCAGGCTCCCATGTGGGCTATCTCCGCATAAATATATTAATGGGATTTCCTTTTTTCGCCTTTGTTTTTGTTCTCACAGTCAATTCGCCCCGGGTGGCAGAGCAGAGTTCATAGTTCAGAGAGCGCTCACTCACTCACATATTGATGGATATTTATGGCGTTCGTGGCTGGAAAGCGGAAAAGCTTCAAAATACGTGCATGATTGAAATCCTCGCAGGAGCATACGGCTATGCGGCTTTGGCCAGCGGACATGGCTCAATCATGCCGTCCAAATAGCCGGCGGCGGCTGAGGCCCTCTAAATTGGCTTTGTAGCTTTTTGAATTTGTTTATCCAGCATTTTATTTGGCCACATCTGCGGACTCACGGATATCGATGTGGTGGCGGGGTCATCTATCGATTTTCCAAGCGCAGCTTCGACAATTTTAATGCTCCTCTCTTCTTGTTTTTATTTCATTTTCGGGGCCAAATATTTGCGTCTATTGTATTGCCGTTTGTCTATTTACGAAAATATTTATTCTGCATTTGCCATGCGATGTGCTTTGGCTGCGCGGGAGATAATTTCCGCTAATTGCTTGCAAGAGATATAATGTGGCAACGAGCTTAATGGTTTGATAGTGGCGACCATTTAGAAGTTCACAACTTATATTTCATCTATCTCTTTTAAATCATCTACAATGACTCTCTGAGAACCTTTTCATAAAGCCTTAAATATATCTTCAACATTTAGATAAAATTATTTTCGAATAAATATGTTGCTTTTGTGAAAGGATGTTTTTTCGAATCATTTGCTTTATTTGTTCCTAAATTCTATTTGTCTCTAAATTCTTTATTTGTTTCTAAATTCTTCGTTTGTTTCTGAATTCTGATTTACACTTTTCGATTGTGGTTCCTCCTAAACCTCTCGTTCTAACAGTAATCTGCTGCTCGCTGCTGTGTTGCAAACGCTTCAACACAAAAAAGACAGATCCGTTTTAAAAGAAGGACAAAGAACGGATCGACTTCTTATACAATTTTAGTTTATTTTTTATGTGATTTTTTTTTACATTAGCGCGAATCATGTCAGTTTTCGGATTTAAGGAACCCTATTTGAATGCGTTGCATCCCGATATAGCATCTTTAACCTTTTGGGTGCAATAGACCTATCGACGCTTGATGTCGATTACACAAAAAAAAAAACATGGCTGCATCGCTTTCAAAAAACTTATCGATTACCAAAATTTTATATGAAAGCGTTGCCACATAATTACAAATAATAAATTCCCTAGAAAAAGATTGCGTTTCAAATTTTTTTTGCGGACAAAGCAATTTAAAAAAGGACAGTTCTGTCCTAAAAGAGGACAAATTTGCAACCCTGCGCGCGCGTAACATCGCAATTAGTGTGCCCAGAGCATACTAATATTTATTAGCCTGCCCCACTTTTCATTCCATTTTTAGCATCATAATAGCATTGAAAAAAAGTTCAGTTTTTTATTTACCTCGTGTCAAATCTCCGATCGAGTTTTTTTTTTTTTGTTTTCATCAGATTTTTTGAAAAATTCGGTTGTCAAAACTGTTTTCAAAAAATCAAAACCTCGAAAATACATATATATTTGCACAAGGTCAATACTTGGACTTATGCCGCAAATTAATAAAGGAGGTGACTCGGAGGAGGCGTCGGGCCGTAAGGGAAAGCCCAAAGGTCAGCCCCAAAAGGACCAAGAAAATCGAGGATGGAGCGATCAGAAGAAAGGACAATATGGTACGATTACAGAGAAAAAAAAAACTGCAAGGTAAATGATCTGAACGAATCCAAACTCAACTTCTGCTCCTTTAGATGGACGGCAGAGTGGTGGAGGCCAGCACAAATTCGGAGAACAGCAGCAGGAAAAAGTAGGACAGCAACAGAAGTTCGGAGGACAGCAGCAAAAGAGTCAAGGGTCTCAAGGATGGGAAAATCGGCAAGGGTGCCAGGGTCAAAAAAATGTAGGATGGGGCGATCAGAAGAAAGATCAAAATGGTAAGACACCGGAAAAACAACTGCAAGGTAAATTATCTGAGCGATCCTAACTTCAACTTCTGCTCATTTAGATGGATGGCAGAGTGGTGGAGGCCAGCAGAAGAAGTTCGGAGAACAGCAGCAGCAAAAAGTAGGACAGCAACAGAAGTTCGGAGGACAGCAGAAAAATTCTCAAGGAACTCAAGGATGGGCTTGTCGAAAAGGACCGGAGTCTTATAAGACTCTGAATGAACAACAGACTTCAGGTTCACTGCACAGTGCGAGTTCATCAACCTCTGCTTCATCTGGGTGCCAGAAGGAAGAAGTCCAACAGCAAAGGACCCACGGAGCCCAAAGATATGGTGGTCAGCAAAGCTCGTACAAAGACCGTGAAAACTGGGGTCCCCAACCGCAACAACGTCCACAAGGACAGCAGATGCAACGTCCACAAGGTCAGCCTCAACAACGGCCACAAGATCAGATGCAACGCCCACAACAACATTCACAACAACGTCCACAAGGACAACAGATGCAACATCCACAAGGTCAGCCTCAACAACGTCCACAAGAACAGCAGATGCAACGCCCACAAGAACATTCGCAACAACGTCCACAAGGACAACAGATGCAACATCCACAAGGTCGGCCACAACAACATCCACAAAAACAGCAGATGGAACGTCCACAAGAACAGCAGATGCAACGTCCACAGGAACATCCACAACAACGTCCACAAGGACAGCAGATGCAACATCCACAAGGTCGGCCTACACAACGTCCACAAGAACAGCAGATGCAACGTCCACAAGGACAGCCGCAACAACATCCGCAAGGACAGGAGATGCAACATCCACAAGGTCAGGTACAACGTCCACAGGGACAGCTGATGCAACATCCACAAGGTCGGCCACAACAACGTCCACAAGAACAGCAGATGCAACGTCCACAGGAACATCTACAACAACGTCCACAAGGACAGCAGATGCAACATCCACAAGGTCGGTCACAACAACGTCCACAAGAACAGCAGATGGAACGTCCACAGGAACATCCACAACAACGTCCACAAGGACAGCAGATGCAACATCCACAAGGTCGGTCACAACAACGTCCACAAGAACAGAAGATGCAACGTCCACAAGAACAGCAGATGCAACGTCCACAGGAACATCCACAACAACGTCCACAAGGACAGCAGATGCAACATCCACAAGGTCGGTCTACACAACGTCCACAAGAACAGAAGATGCAACGACCACAAGAACATTCGCAACAAGGTCCACAGGGACAGCAGATGCAACATCCACAAGGTCGGCCACAACAACGTCCACAAGGACAGCAGATGCAACATACTCAAGGTCTACCACAACAAAGTCCACAAGAACAGCAGATGAAAAGTTCACAACGACAAAAGATGCAACATCCACAAGGTCAGCCACAAAAACTTCCACAAGGACAGCAACAGAGGCAACTTTCTGGCTGCCAGTCTCAGGGACCAGCACCTAAGAACGTCTTAACGCCACATCCCCTTGGCGAACGGGATCCCAATCAAAAAGATGATCCGAAAACACTACCTCAGCAGAAGCGTGTGGATCAACCAAAAGATCAACAAAAATCCCAACCTGTTAGTTCCGCTCCATTGCAGCCTGCTGTAATTATTAAACGTGGCACGATCGGAACTCCCGGCCAGGTGGCCGTTAATTATCTGGAAATAAACATGGAAAAAATGCCCGAAATAGCCTTCCACTATGACGTTAAGATATTACCAGAGCGGCCTAAGAAGTTCTGGAGGCAGGCTTTCGAGCAATTTCGCGTCAATCAATTGGGGGGAGCGATTGCTGCCTATGATGGCACAGCCTCGTGCTACTCTGTGGACGCCCTGGACACTAAATCGTGTAATGGGGAGGTGACTGTAAGTAAAGGAATATTATTAACAAATCAAATCAGAGTTTCTGAACTCTATATTCAAAGTTTGTGTCTGAATCCTGTTCAAAAACGCTTTGCCTAACTGTTTTTCAGGTCATTGATAGACATGGGCGTTCTATTCATTATACTGTGGAAATCAAGGAGACATATGACCTTCAGGTCGATCTGAACTCTTTAAGAAAGTGAGTGCAGATAGCTCTCAATCGATTTTTATTATTAAAATTCCATCATAACGCAGCTACATGTCTGAGAGGATCTTCGACAAACCTATGCGGGCCATGCAATGCCTAGAGGTAGTTATGGCCGCTCCATGCCACAACAAAGCCATTCGGTCTGGACGCTCCTTTTTCAAGATGTCCGCGCCGGGTCACCGTCGGGAGCTGGAAGATGGCTATGAGGCTCTGGTCGGTCTCTATCAGGCCTTCATGCTGGGCGATCGACCCTTTTTGAATGTGGACATATCGCACAAATCCTTTCCGATAGACATGCCGGTGCTCGAGTACCTGGAACGATTTGGGCTGGGGCAAAAAATTAATCAGAATAGCGATCTTGGCCAGTCGCGTGGCTCCATTGACTTGTTCCTGAAGGGCCTCAATGTGGTTTATACGCCACCAAAATGTTTCAATTCTTTGCCACATTGCTGGAAAGTTAATGGACTTTCGAAAGACCCGGCCAGCAAGCAAACGTTCCAGCTGGAGGATAAAAATCTTACAGTTTTAGAGTATTTTAAATCTCGCAACTATATGTTGCAGTTTCCCCATCTTCATTGCCTGCACGTTGGATATCCGTCAAAGAATATAATGGTGCCCATCGAACTATGCCACATCGAGGGAGGACAGGTCATGAATGTAAGGTCGCATAAATATCAGAAGACCATTTTTAAGCTTGAATCTTTTGCAGCGCAAGGATGCAGCCACCCAAGTGTCAAACATGATCAAGGTTGCCGCCACCTCGACCAATGAACGCAAGGCCAAGATCATGGACCTACTCAAGTTCTTTCATCACAACTTGGACCCAACCATCGGTCGTTTTGGCCTCCGCATTGCCAACGATTTCATCATGGTGCATACCCGAACTCTCGCGCCGCCGCAGGTGGAGTACCAGGGCAACAAGTGTTGCCCGGTAAGGAATGGTTCGTGGCGCATAGACAATATGCGCTTCCTCAAGGCTAATCCGAAGGTGCACAAGTGGGCGATCATGTTCTTTGATCCGCCACGCGGTCGCAAGATGCCCTTCAATCAGGTGGCCGATTTTGAGTACAAAGTGCTGGGCCAAGCCAGGGCCATGAATGTGAGCCTGGACAAGAAGGCTGAAATATGGCCCTATAAGGACGAGCGCAGCCTAGACAAGTGTTTCGAAGATCTTCGGGGAAAATGCGATATAGCCTTTGTGATCATACCGCAGTTTGGCGTGACGTACAGCACCATTAAGCAGAAGGCCGAACTGCAGCACGGCATTCTGACGCAGTGCATCAAGCAGTTTACCGTCGAGCGCAAGAATAATCCTCAGACCATTGGCAACATCTTGCTGAAGATCAATTCAAAGCTGAATGGCATTAACCATAAGCTAAAGGACGATACCCGCCAGCCAATTCTCACGAACGCCATGTTCCTGGGCGCCGACGTTAGCCATCCGTCGCCCGATCAACGCGAGATCCCCAGCGTGGTGGGCGTGGCTGCCTCGCACGATCCCTTTGGCGGTGCCTACAACATGCAGTATCGCCTCCAGCGCTCGACACTGGAGGAGATCGAGGATATGGAATCGATTACACTGGAACATCTGCGCGTGTACCACAAGTATCATAATAAATATCCCGAACATATTATGTACTATCGCGATGGTGTAAGTGACGGCCAGTTTCCGAAAATCAAAACCGAGGAGATTAAGGGCATAAAAGCGGCCTGTCGACAGGTATGTTTTTTTTAATTTCAATCCTGTATATTTATTTTATTGAAATCGTTCGTCTACCTAAAGATCGGCATTCGACCAAAGATTTGCTGCATTATAGTGGTGAAGCGTCACCATACTCGATTCTTTCCCGTGGGCGAACCAACGCCCTACAACAAGTTCAATAATGTGTCACCCGGAACGGTGGTGGACCGCACCATTGTCCATCCGAACGAAGTGCAGTTCTTTATGGTCAGCCACCAGTCCATCCAGGGCACGGCCAAGCCAACGCGTTACAATGTAATTGAGAACACAGGCAGACTGGATATTGACCTCTTGCAGCAGTTAACCTTCAACCTCTGTCATATGTTTCCGCGCTGCACTCGATCGGTTTCGTATCCAGCACCGGCCTACCTTGCTCACCTGGTGGCTGCCCGTGGGCGTCACTATTTGACGGGGTAAGTCATGGTTTTTCATCTCGTGTTTTCAAATGCTTAGTAATTGATTTTTATTACAGCACTGAACGGTTCCAGGACCTGAAGAGGGAATACAGCAAGCGAACGATTGTTCCCAAATTTATGAACACAAACCCGATGTTTTTTATATAAATTTTACAATTCTCGAATGAGGGGGCATGAGCGGATTGAGGTCCTATGACGGATACTTCCTTGGGTCTTTAAATAATCTTTCTTTAATAGTATCCCTTTGATCAATTTCATATATACAAATTTTAAACTGATTACGTTGACCAAATAATAAATTCAGCAAGAACACAAACCCTACCCTTGCATTTGGCAAATAGCAAAGTTAATTAGTTTTATGCACAACCTTTGTTTGCACAAAAAACTAGCAGACTAGCGGAAAGCAGAGGAGAAATCTGCAAAAAGTTTTCACATTTCCGTGCAAGGACATGCGTGACGTAGACGGGTGACCCCTCCTTTTGGTGGCAAAGCTCAGCTTTCACACTTGCCAGGCTCTCACACATACTTTTCTTTTTATTTATTATGTTTTTTTTTTACTCGCTCTTTCTCCCCCAAAACTCAAGTGAAAAACAAACTTGCACGAGTTGCCCGAGGAATTAAGAAAACGAACGAAAATACTTTACGTGAATATATATACACAAGGGACATTGCTATGATTAGCATTTCAATAGCGTATAGGGCCAAGCCCAGGGATATTATTCATAAAAGGCGATTACTTTTAATGCCCAGGCAGGCCTCGTGTGCCAGCCAGTATGCAACTATAATTAGATGGCCAATTATGGCGTTGAAAATTGAAATTTGCGGCAACTGCAGTCAATTTGCCACACAAAAAAATATGAAGTGAAACAATGTGGATGATGAGGCCGCGTCCAACACGGCGTATACGTAACTCGTGTACTCGTTTCGGTGGACCTCTTAGTCACGCGTTCGCATCTCGAAATCCCCGGCCAGCAGGTGCAAGGAAAGCTAGAACAACAAAAAAAATCGTGTCATCCAAGCGATTATCCTTGCGTGTCCACGGATTAATTTTAATGCTCAAAATGACGCACACGATCTGGCCATGGTCCTTTTGATGTGGGTCACACGAATCATACTCGGGGCAACCCTCTGGAACGTACATTTTCCAACCATTTCCCAACTAATCCCTACCAAAAACCATACTGCTTAATCAACTCGGTACTAACCACATTCCGATTTTCAGTTTATTGTAAATATTTTACATTCTCCATCCAACATTTTCTAGGGTCCACTCTGATTGAATTTTAATTAAAAAACAGCCGCGAATCAAACCGTAAAAAAGAGGAAAAGGACACGTCAAACTGTTTGGTAATAAAGTCAACCGGTTCCATTGGCATTTAAGGCAATTAAACAACAATGTTTATATCAATTAAATGGGTTTTCCACCAAATGTCCGCCGTGGACTGGTACACCGAAATGTTTACATAATAAAATAATTAAATGTAATTGTGTTGCATTTAACGATAATGAAAATGCGACGGGTAAATTTCGCTGCATTGACATTATAATGCACGTAGAAGAAATGATAAATGAAGAATCAAATAAATGGATACAATATGTTTAAAGTTGATTAAGGTCGAAACTCGTCCATCAATATAATTTCAATAAATGTTTTCTAATTGCAATTACCTTTAACATATTTGCTAGTTCCACCCGAAACCAAGACCCTTGAAGCTCCTGTCTTATTTTCTCTTTGACATATATACATCTTTATAGTATAAATAATAAAAGAAAATCCGACCCCTTGTTGATTTTCTAAAGATAACATGAAATCCTTGAACGAATGCTGAGTGAGAATTCTGGCACTACTCGGTGAGTGCAACATCAAAGTGCGAATAAGAATGAAGTAGGGAAATCTTTAAGATATTCGCATACATAAGGGGACGTGTATAGTATGTCTTGCACTAACTTATTACCATACAGCATTTTCCTTGTACGCAGCAAAAATTGTTGCACAGCATGTGGCAAGGAAAATAGGGGCAGAAAACAGGGGCAGGAGTTAGGATGTCGAGCTACAGAGAGCATATTTGAGTTTCCTGCTGCTGAAGTCCTGCATAATAATCCTTCACACACTCACACACAAACACTCGTGGTGTTGAGATGTAAACGAAATTTGTTGTATTGAAGGCACACGGCTTGGTTTTCAACGCTCTGCAGATGACACGCTTTCCCATTTCCCGGCTTGAATGCTCAATGAGTTTGACTTTTTACCTGCTGCCGAGACTGTTGGTTTTCTGCCCCGATTTTCGCATATGCCAAAACCAAGATTAAAGGGGCATATATCATATTTGAGTCAATACGGGCTCGGGGCCATATTTCAATAAACGCCGCCATTCAACTTGTCAACGTGTCGCCTGCCAAAGTGGCTGTAAAATGCAACTCCCGCTCTCCACACCCTTTATCATTCATTTCCCGCATATTTTCCCTGCACTCGAAACTTATTTTTTCCACGCAAATTTCCTTTGCACCGACATAAAAAATAGGGAAAAAAACGAGTAGGGTAGGGTAACTCATTTGAGCCGTGACATGTGATGCCTGCCTGCCTTGTTATGTGACGGCCAAGGGTGAAAGTTTTGCATAATTTACGTTGAGCGCGAAAGGCGAAAGTTTTGCATCCTTCTGCCATCGTTCTGCGATTTTTTTTAAACATATATTTTTTTGTAGATGGTTGGTGTCGTGCCCCAAGGGCAAAGAACTCGTAGTCGGGGAAGTGGAAATAATTCTTTTGCATTAATTGAACTTATTAAAAGTTTGATATTTAGTTGGCATATTTTTTGAACTCACAAGATTTGTTCAAATATTGAAATTTGTGTTCTTTTTCTAATGAAAATATTACATTTTTGTTACAAATATATCTTCTTTCTAGTTTAAAGCTGTTTTAAATCGATATATGTTTTATTTAGTCTCTAGTTTAATTTGGCAATAAGAAAAGTTTTCTGCGTAGCTTAAAGGTATGTTTTAGAAAGGAATTTCAGAAAAAATTAATAGTAAAATCCATTCCTGTTCATAATTTAAAGCTTCTGACTAATCACTTCTCTGAAATATACTTTAATTAATATTCATTTGATTTAAAGTTTCAAAGTCAAATTTAATTAATTTATAAACGTAGCAGAACAAAGTCATTTCCAATTGTTTCTGATATCCATCTAAAGCCTCTGCAGGACATTGATATTTCCATTTCACTTCACTGGATTTGCGTGTTTTTGTTTATTTGAAAGTCGGAGGATTTGATATGTCTTTATTGGAAAACTCATACAGTGACAGGTGTATATCCATCTCCATACCATGCTGACCGGTGTCGTGTTCGGATTTGGCAAAAGGAAAAAGTGGCATACAAATATCAAGCAAATATATATATCTATATATATTTATAGGAATAGGTATATAAAGATATAGCAGCACAAGGCAAACACAACAAATCAATTTCTGTTTGACCCACCGCTCCACTGAGCTGGACAGCGAGCTAACTGAAAGCGGCAATGGGCAGCGGAGAGGGGCCAATCCAATGCATTCCACCCAAGAACCAATCCTCATCCTAGTACCTATAACCACTCACTAAAAATTGAAATCAGGATCAAGTCAATACATAAAATATATTTAAAGTAAAAATTAAATTGAAAAATATAAGTTTGAGTGATGAAATGCATGTATTTTCCTTTATTTTCTATAATCATCCTTTAACTTTACTTTTATGTTTAAGTTCAGTATATTCTTGACCATTATTCTCTTTATTTTTTCGGTGCATTCTGTAAGTCTCCTGATTTGGTTTATGCCTTTTTCATACCTGCAAATAAACTTGGCTCGCTTTCAGGACCTGTTTCTGGCTACGGTTCCGGCTCCGGTTCTGTTTTAGTTTCTGTTTCTCGTTTTAGCCCGTGGCACTGCCACTGACACTGATTGCTTGTGAGCCATATGCCCGACTTGACTGCAGTCAAGACGGCCATTATTCACTTGCACTCGCCACTTCAGCCAGGAGCCAAGGATCTGCGGGGAGGGCCGAAAAGGAGAGGAAGGGGGTTCAGGAACAGACAGCGAAACTCTCGTGGAAACTTTACGGGGAATGGGGGCTCAGTCACAAAGGAAAGTAACTGGCAGTGAACCGTTTGCTTTTCCATCTTTCCATCACACTCTCACACTGAGAAAAATTAATCGTACAGAGAGATATGCATTGATAGAACTCTGTTTAATTTTGATAAAACTTATCTAAAAAAATTCCATGTACATTACAGTTTTCTCTTAAATTCCTCATTTCGATGTACATTTTTTCTCAGTGTTAAATCCCTTTGGGGGCGGCCGTAATAGTGGCCGTGGTGCGTTTGAAGGCTTGGCCACCGCACCGGATGTCCTGGCATTTCCGCCCCGCTAATACGAAGTCGCCATGAGTCAGCCTTTGTTGGCCATGTTTGCCTTTCGTTCGGTCTGTGGTTTTCTTATTTTTTCATTAGCATTTTTCTTGCAACCCTATGGGGAAATATTGTCGTCAATTATGTTACATAATCAACACAAAAGAAAAATGTAACAAATTCCGTAACTTTCTCAGACTTTGACACGGTTCCATTTTCATTTTCCACTCGGTTTTTTTTTGGGGTTTACCCCAGCAGCAGATTAGTATTAATGATGTTTAGTTTGCACGCGCCCAAAAACTGGGCTAACTTTGTATTTGGGTTAATTTGGTTAATTTTTCGTAGTTTTGGCACCAAGACGAATGGATCAGGAAACTAGACCCGAATTACGCAATTATGGCTTTAGCAACGGATGCGTGCCAAAAATTTGTTCCTTATTTCTGTGGGAGAAATAAGGATTTTTAGCCTTATTTATTTCATAGCGGAAAACTGTGAAATATTATTCAAGAAAAGTATGTTAATTTTGTTCTAAGTTGTGCCTGTCCAAATGTTTATTTCAGTCTCTTTAAATATAATTTCAATTCAAATGTATTTTTGTAATATTTTGCACTCACGAGTTATCAAAACCTTGTTTTGCTTGGAGTTGTTTTTGCTGTCTGCTGTGCTAATGAAGCCGAATTTATTGCCAAGGCTTTATGGACAGCCATACAGTTTGCACATACTCGTTTTATGGCCAACAAAACAGAATAATGTGGCTGAAAAGCAGCCAAAAATCGGCTAATGTATGCAGACGCAAAGAGGGATGCTGTACATGCCGACGACGAAAAAGTTGGTAACATCTCGGTGAGCACACAAAATGGATTTTGTCTGCATTAAAATAACTTCTAGATAAAGCGAGGAAATTGCTTTTGAATACGG